CTCACACTAAGCATGCTTGTAGCGACAGTGGAGAGGAAAAACTCCCTTTTAACAGGAAGAAACCTCCAGCAGCACCAGGTACAGTGTCACTACCCGATCCGTCCCGGAAGCACAATCCGTTCTGCGCATGCGAGAACAGATATACATCCGGGTGTACATAAATAATGTAACCATGGTACTAAAACTTCTTATTTATATCCTTAACTCGCCAAATAATGCTAATACACATCTTTAAAAAATGTTTTATGACTTGTCTGAGACAATTTTTAAGCTTTTTACATTTTCTCCGTTAAACTGCTTCTCTGAAGTCATCGTCAGACATGCTCAGGGTAGTCCGACAAAATATGATTAAACCATGTTTATCTGCGTTTTAGTTGTTTCTTTCTTTAGATTACGCACTATTAAGATTAAAATGAAGCAAAACCATACAACTCAAAGACTAGATTTATGTTTAAATCCGAAGCAAAAAAAAGTTAGCCACCGGAATTAGTGTAGGATCCCATTTCCAGTGCAGATCGGGCAGAGACGACAGAAAAGGATTTTAAGGCATTTAATTTCTCAGGAAATACATTGTTAACTTTTAACACATTATATTGTAGCACCTTCACTATTTCTGGGGAGGGAAAATGTCAGTTAAGTATTTTTAAGAAAATAAAATTGAAAACGACCCGGATGTAAATCTGGATGCGCAAAATGAGCCGATAGCGCAGGTGCAAGACTGATCGTGCTTACAGGACGGATAGGGTAGTGAGACTCAGTGTGAGCGGCCATCTGCTGAGGCCGACTGGGGTTCAAGGAGACAGAAGCAGACATACAGAAAGAAGCAGACACAACATAAAGTGGACTTTGTTTGTTTTACATGTTTTCAAATCAACTTCTTTCAAAACTGGTGCTTTGTTTTTACCTAGAAAGATATTGTAGGTCAGATTCAGCAAGCCGGGTGACATGCTGCTTTGTTTTTCTGCATAAGTAGAAATCCCTAAACTAACTGTAGCCATTTCAGTTGTATTTTTATGTCTTATCTTAAATTGAATTTGAAGACACTAAAATTAGGTTGAATAATAAAAAAAAAAAATCTAAATTGTTCTATTCTGCATTAACATTAGGTTGATAGTCTGAGATTTCCAAGATGTGATCAACAGTCATTATTATATTTATTATATAACTTTTAAAACATATTCACATATTTTCACCTTGGAACCGTTTGAGAAGATGTTTTTATCCATAATAATGAGGGAGAAAATTACTGTGGCGTTCATTTTTTTTCCCCCCCTACATATCTTGCAGGGGACTACTTTGATTGTAACACATCACCCAAAATCCATCATCCTCACCTTGAAGCCTGAGCGCAATGATGAGTGCATATTTGTACAGCTGTCGCCTGAGCTGGGGCTTTTTTGTGAAAAATAAAGAAGACGGGAAATTCTATGTCTAAAAAAAGAAATCATCCAAATCTGTAATTGGATTAAAGAGCCTCGTGTTTTTTGTTTTCTAATAAAAAAGATACAGAAAACTTTCATATATAGGAGAATTGAGAGGGTATGATTACCATGGTTATTAATTTTACAGAATATTTCAGCTCCACAGCCGTCACGGACGCAGTAAACTTTCCCAATTAAACAACGTTTGAACTCATCCTAACTGAAATAATATGTACTATTATTCCTGCTTTTGATATTGGAACGTACTAAAAGGGTGATTGTTCTCTTGTCCTCCTCAGCTTAAGGCTTTCCAACATGCCCTGAGCTCCCATGACTGTTCCCGCAATGTTTACGTAAAGAAGAACGGCTTCACCCTGCACCGCAACCCCATAGCCCAGAGCACGGACGGCGCGCGGGGCAAGATCGGCTTCACAGAAGGCCGGCATGCATGGGAGATATGGTGGGAGGGCCCCCTCGGCACCGTGGCGGTGATAGGCATCGCCACAAAGCGAGCTGCCATGCAGTGCCAGGGCTATGTAGCCCTGCTGGGCAGCGACGACCAGAGCTGGGGCTGGAACTTGGTGGATAATAACCTGCTTCATAACGGGGAGGTCAGCGGGAACTTCCCGCAGTGCAACAACGCGCCCAAATATCAGGTGGGTGTAGCGGCCGAGATGAAGGCTGCTGTGGTTTTAGTAAGACAAAGGCTGCTGTGAGATTCTATAAAGTACACCGAGGTTAGATCTTTGAAGAGTTGAATTATTTCACTACTTTCTGCATAGTTCTGACTATGCAGCTTATGATCTTTACACCCACAGGGATCCAACTGTTTGTTAGCTAATGAAAACAAAAACCAAAAAAAAATTTGTGTCTCAGAAAATAAAAACATGACCAATTCAACATGTTCAAAGTTCCATATAGATTCTTTAAGCTATGGTCTTAAAGTTCATGGATAAGACTGCAGACGGTATGCATGTTGAGGGAAAAAAACAAGTTTAATTGAATGAACAAGCAGTGATTATTGCACATTTTGAGTTTTTTGGAAGATCAGCGTAGCAACCTAGCAGGACATTGGAGACCATTTCACTTTTATCAAACGGGAGAAGAGAGGCACTAAACACAAAAATGCAATCCACCTGAAATTTACCAAAAACGATCCTGTCTCTGTGTTTTTAACCTTTCAAAACACGGAGATAGTCTTCTATAGGCAGAAACTTTTTAGTTTAAAATACATTAAACTCGTCTGACATCAGATTTTCTTAAGGTGTCGCTATTAGCTTTAAAGGAGAAGTTCGGTTTTTTACACTTTAAGCCCATTTTCTGTAGTGTCCAGGATGAAATCGAATGATCGACACCAAAAGTTTGACAATTGGTCCTGTCTCTGCTTTTTGGCTCATTTAGAATCCACCCCTGGCTGCTTTAGAATGGCTTGCATAGAGCATGTCCGATAATGTCCTTAAAACAACCTTAAACGTTCTTTTTTTAAAATATGCTACTCACCGTGTCGTCAGCGCTGTTCAATGACGTTCCAATAAAAAAGTTTCGTGAAGAAAAAACGTTCCTGTAGTGTTTTATTTAGCATTTTGTAAATCCCATTGAGTTCTGTAGGAATAGTCAATATTCCGCTGCCACCGGAAACGGAAATGGGGCCTGTTTACACAGTTGTAGTCTTTTCGCTTCACTCTGTGTACTCCGACGTCGAGGTGCTAACGTCTCTGTTAAACACTTTAAAAAACTCTGAAAATGGAATACGAAAGGTGGATTCTTGATTCTCGACGTCGGAGTACACGGAGTGAAGCGAAAAGACTACAACTGTGTAAACAGGCCCCATTTCCGTTTCCGGTGGCAGCGGAATATTGACTATTCCTACAGAACTCAATGGGATTTACAAAATGCTAAATAAAACACTACAGGAACGTTTTTTCTTCACGAAACTTTTTTTGGAACGTCATTGAACAGCGCTGACGACACGGTGAGTAGCATATTTAAAAAAAGAACGTTTAAGGTTGTTTTAAGGACATTATCGGACATGCTCTATGCAAGCCATTCTAAAGCAGCCAGGGGGGGATTCTAAATGAGCCAAAAAGCAGAGACAGGAGCAATTGTCAAACTTTTGGTGTCGATCATTCAATTTCATCCTGGACACTACAGAAAATGGGCTTAAAGTGTAAAAAACCGAACTTCTCCTTCAAGCCATAATCATCAATATAATAGAACAATCACATTTGGAATTGAATTGCTAATATAACTTCTTATGAAACTTGCTCTTGTTTTTAGCTCATCTTGTTAGCTTATTTAAACTGAATCAAACTATTTAATTGCTGTGTTTGTTTTTTGAACAGATCTCTCTTTTCAATGAGATCTTGGATCTAAACGAGACAACCTGTTTAAATAAAACTGAAATGAAAATGTATGTATTCAAAGATTTGTTTGCTTAACTGAAAGCAGAAAAGTGACAATAGAAGAAAAAGTACAGTCACCAACAAATTGACTGTTACAGTTCTTAAGTTTTATCCTTATCTTGTGGTATTTTGGTATTTGTGCTAAATTTTGCAAGAAATCTTGCTAGCTTAATATTTTTCATAATTATTTTTGTTGGGTAAAACAAACCTGCATTAGTGGGTTAAATCGCATTAGCTGTTCAGTTAGCTACTCAAACCTCGAACAAGCACCTTCTCTCTGATGTTTCATTTAAAGGTCTTTAAAAAAATAACAACATCAATTAAAATGTAGGCGTTTTTATGAGCTTAAACATAATCGTTATACTGGTAAATGGCTCACAGCTATACTCATAGCAGCTTTAATATTGTCTAGCAATTCTTTTCTTAAAGATGAATTTTTAATGTTATCAAACGCTGTCATGTGATTGTTGTTGACAGATTGGGGAACGAATACGAGTGATCCTTGACATGGACGACAAGACGCTAGCCTTTGAGAGAGGCTTCGAGTTCCTTGGAATTGCTTTCCGTGGACTACCAAAGGTCTGCCTGTTCCCCGCCGTCTCCGCGGTGTACGGCAACACGGAAGTCACCATGGTTTATCTGGGGAAACCTCTGGACGGATAGACACACATTTAGCTGTTTTCGCGAGCGGACTGCTAACACTTTCAGTCATGAAGTTCTAATGTGACAGAGGCTGAGGCAAAGCGGACGTTAAAACAAGGCCCAGGCTCTTCAACTACAGCCACACCAGGAGAACACTCGGACCGTCGGCAATATGTTTCTGTATCAACGTGGGAAGATTCCACTTTTACGGTTTGGCTGCCGCACTGTTTTGTTCACAGGATACTAGAGCATAGTTTTATCTCATATATTTCCGATGAATAGCGCTAAACAAATATCTAAGACTTTATATCTGCTTTGAAGCCCAAAACTACTCTAAACTGTGTCAGAAACTTTAACATTTGAAGTGCAAACGGTACTGGTTAAAATAAACTGTTATGGTGTGTGAGGTAGTTAAAGCAACACTCTTTGGGTTAGCCGAAGTCTTCTATTATATAAATGAACTGAAACTGAATCATTGTGACCTGAAGGTTAACTTTGATATATTTAAAAATGGAGTGCATGATTTGCAGAAGTCGTTATTTCTTATTAAAAACAACAAAAACAGAAAAAAACTCAAACAGAGCAAATCATGCCTGTCTCCTGATTATGTGTCCTTTTTAATGTGCTACTGTAGTATTACATGTTATTTATTTTGTGATTTTATCTCCGGTACTATAGACACTGTATGGTTGTATGGCCTGAAATAAAGTCCTTATGGTGCCACTATAACTAAGATTGCTGTATTTATTTCTTAGATATTTACAGAAGCGTATTGCAGTTACTGGAAAAATAGAAAAGTTTTTTCTGAATTAACACAACAACTTTTTATAACAATGTTGATTTCTCCTTATTTTTATAAAAATCTTAACATTCAATTTTTTCTGAATTAATATGGAGACTTTTTATAAGAATAAAATTATTCATTTTTCAGTGTTTACAAGATTACTTTTTATTTTAAAAAAATGTTTTTAATTCATAGACAAAATATAAGAAATAAGATCATCTAAATAAATGAGGGTTTAAGATGTGCATCTAGCTGCCTACATCTAACCTCATGCCACTCTGCGGCAACAGCTCATATCAGATGTTTTTGATTCTATGAGTTATTTATGTCATTGAGAAGGTCACAGAGGGAAGATAATGTTGCAAATACTGTCATACAATCATCAACATGGTTGACTGTAATGTAGAATGTGTTTTTCCAAATGTGTTTATTTTTTTTTTGTGTTAAGCTTGGTGTAACCGAAAACATTTCATAAAGGTTTTATTTTTCAGTCAGTCGACAAAATATTGTTTCTTTGGTGCAGCAGTGGGTCTTTTCTTTCCTATTGAAATGGAGCCTAGGTGGAAGTTCAGCTGAAGAAACGGATTGCTCTCCTACATCCACCTGCGACAAAACCTTTGAAAAAGCTTTGAAAAACACCTCTACGAAAGCCAATCGGCATCGAAAAGTTCATCTGATCCGCACTTGTCTGCTCCTGTGCAGGCGGCTGATGCGCCGTGTGACTTCATTCAAATGACACCAATTGAGCGCACCTCCAGCCTCTCCTCCACCATCATAGCTAAGCTTCATCAGAGTGTCATTCCTCCCGGACTCTTACTGCGTTCCCTGTCTCATCTCAACCGGTGCGGTAGAAGACCGCCATTTTGAGCCGGGTTCTGCCAGAGGTTTCCTCCGAATGGGAATTTTGTCCTCTCCACTGTCGCTCCATGCTTGCTCATCATGGACAGGTTCTCTCAACCTGTGTTATCCAAGCTGGACTTCCATCTTCCAGGTCCCTGAGTGAAGCTTTAGTATCAACTCACTGCACTGGATCTCCCCATAAAGCTCAGCAGACCGTCTCGCTAACCAGCAGTCTACAGATTGACCAACTTCATCTATCTCCACCACCAGTTTCAGGCCTGGGGGGGGGAACAGCCCTATTCTTTGCTCCTTTTCATGCATATCTATCAAAATTCAGTGCTATGTTTACTGCCAAGGTCTGAGCCCCAAAGACAAAGTAACTCTATCAATAAATTTCTCCTAATTGTCTTTTCTCTGCATGTGAGTTTTTCAGATTGAATTAAGAACACTAACCTTAACAGAGGCAGGTAAAGCATTAGGTACTGTGAGTCTATGTACTCTTGGAGTAATATAGTTTCACACATGCCTGTATAAATTCTCAGTCATCTGGGTCATTGCAACCACAAACAGGCTTAAATTGGAACACAACCAAACTATGGCTCATATTTTTTAAGCGGTTTGGACACATATTCAGGAGTCAAAAGAGACACCTCTGATAGATCAAGATGACACGGCAATTAACATGGGGAAAATGCACAAATCCCAAAAGCCAATGGGTAAGAGCGGACAGAAACATAAATTTCACAAGAGAAGGTGCCAAGAACAACATGTAGCCCTTTCTGGACTGCTATGCAGATTGAGGAAAATGGGAGTCTTAATACTGATGTTTATTCATTTTGACTCGCATCGCCCGTAGGAACATACGCTTTTTGTGATCAGAACACCGAGTTACCAGGCCAAAAATATTCCTTCAGTTACAGAGGACAAATGAAAAGAACAAAAATATGTTAGGAAATTAGTTGAAGCATGTGGTTATCCAAAGTGGCTGTTTGTTAAGTCTGTTAAAACATCTAAACATCCAAACATCTACAACATACCAGTGAATTTCAACCCCAACAATACTTCGAGACAAAAGCTGGTTCATCCTAAAGACAGAAAATCTCAAATTAAGTCGAGCGGCAGTGTGTATGTGATTCAGTGCAGCAAGGACTGGACGGCCTCATATATTGGAGAAACCAAACATAATAACACAATGTAGGAGTGTCAGCAGCTCTGGGGGAAATTCAGCTGTATACTTGCACCTCAAAAACAAAGGACAGACCTTGGGAGACCAAACTGTTCAGATTTTGGACAGAGAGGACAGATGGTTTTAAAGAGGCATCAAGGAAGCCATTTTTGTGAAAAGAGAAAAACCATGGATTGCAGTTTCAGCTTCCAAGCATTTCAGTCATGGAACTCATTCCAAAGAGGTTAAACGAGCCCTACCATTATGATTCAAAAGACCAAGCATATAGTCCATGCACAACAAAAAGCTCAAACAATCCAGAAGAGCAAAGGATGGCTATCTGATTTGCATCTGGGATGTTTGCAGGAAGATGGACCTCCATGCTGCTTACATTCTTTAGCACTCCAACTAGAGTTTGCTCTGGTGCAAGCCAATAGAACGGACAAAGACTCCTGGATGTGTGTCAAAATGTCAAAAAACTGAACAAAGGTCTGGTTGCCTTCCAATCTAAGCACGTTTGTGATAGTTTCACACAGTGCCAGGCCAATTCAGATAGATATCTAAATCCTCATTTAAAAATCTGTTGTTGTTTTTATCATTAGATTATATAAATTATTGGAATGCTTTTGGCCTGTGATTGTAGTATCATGTTGATCAGATAAGAAATTACTAGAGCATCTATTTTATGGAGAAAAAAGGCCAACATTTAGAGGCAGACCTTTTTACTGTTTGATGCTGTAAAATGAAATCTATGACTGTATATAATAGCGCTGAGTAAAACCTATTTACATATTAGTTTTTAATCTACATTATTTGTAGATCTGTGGTTTAAATATTCTTTGATATCCATATAGATTTTAATAAATACAATGCTAAACTTAAAGGAATAATGGCAACATTGAAAGGATGGGAAGCAAAAAAAAAAAAAAAAAAGCATGGGGAGAAAGTGGCTTAATAGAAATCAATATTGTAAATGATGCATGATGTCAGCAACCACAGTCATTTCAGTTCAGTCTTTGTTTTAATTTCAAAGGATATAATAGGAACTTTACAGCTTCTTTTTTTTTTTTTACAATTATGTGTTTGTTTAAAACATTTTGTATATATAGACTAAACCTTGTGGTAAAGGCGGCAACCCAATTAACACTTTTCTTTCTCAAAATGGCAAAAAAAAAATGTAACAGGAAGTTAAAACAACAGGAGCATGAAGGTTTTATCCCTTTATTTGGTGGCACCTAGTGAGCTTTCACCCACTTTAAATGTTTTTTTTGTTTTTTTTTTTATAAGGTTAATATAAATTTCTTTGGTCAGACTTTTATGTTTGCTCATAATTACCTCTAAAGAGCTGGACTAGAACTTAAAGGTGCCAGTACCAGAGTGAATTTCTAGCTGAAAAAAATCTGATTCTGGTGCCGAGTTCCTACTGAGTCCTGAAAGGTGACAGAGCCTATGGACTTCCAGTCAGGTCCGCCTCCCTTATCTTTATTCGGAACCTGTTGGTTTACATTGACTAAATGATGGTTGGATTTCTTGTATGAAGCTTAAGCAGCCTACGATCCCCAACAATACGTACTATTGGAAGAGAGGATTTTTTTTGTTTTGTTTTTCTAATGAAATGCATGAGTCTGAACAGCTTGAACATGTTCTAATGTTCTTTTTCTTTTTATCAGCCTTCAGGCTTAGTCCTTCGTTTCTTACAACTAGTCAATAAGTGCAGCATAGCCCCACTTTTGCAGGAAATGTGATAGCCTCATCAGTTGAGGGGCGGGGAAAACTGTAAATGTGTTCAGTCTGTTGTCTAAAGCTTTGTCTTCCTGGTATGGCCTCTTTGCACGAGTGAAAGACACTTAGGAGCAGGATATTTAAGTTCTAATGATGATGATTTGGGGTAAATACGCTTAAACTATCCTTGTCTGCAAAAGAATAAGATCAACACTGACAAAATTGCTCATAGGATGTGCAGTGACTATCTTTGATATATATTTATAGTTCTATATTATGAAGGTGTTTGTAAGTGATAATTGTTTTGTTTTTGTCCTTTGCAAGCACTCAAACTTTACAGTGTTGATCCTGATTTCCACTTATAATCATTAGAGTGGGTTTATTTCCATTTCAGAATCCATTTATCGTATATTTCTGTTAAGAACAATGGAAAAAAAAGATAACTGAGCCCATTAAAAAGAAAATTACCCTTGACCTTTAATAACCTTTTCTCTGCCTCTGCAGCACTTAGCTCATAAAATTAATACAACTCCTCTAGTGGTGATAAAGAAAGGGAAACAAGAAACACAGCTCCTACGTGATGCATATCTCAGTGTGCAACAGACGCTACTTTCATTATGATTTCTCATTCAGATATCGTAAATGTAAAAAAGAAAACAAAAAAAATAAGTTTGAATTTAAATGTTTCTGGTCATTTTTGAAAATGTCTTCTCTAATTTATGAAATACAGAAAACATTAGGAATATATCAATGTGCCCACCTTTAGGGATGCCTGATAAAGATGTTACTTAAATCGCTGAAAATAAACGATATGTCATACTTGCATTTGCTGCAATAACATCCTAATGAAGAAGGTGTGTAAAATACATGATTTCACAGCAAACTCAAAAAGGTCCTAAAAATTAGACTTGCAAACATGCAAAAAACAAGCAATTAATATATGCTGCAACACAAAACCGGTTTCAATAAACTTCAAATTTGAGCTTTAGACATTCTTAAAACAAGATGATTATTTTGAGCTCAAAACTAAACAACGTGGTTTAAATAAAAAAAAAAACAATTTTCCAACGTGGTTGCATGGAATATGGATTATACAGGACCTCTGACTGGGCTGCTGCAAAGTTTATATAGAAGGATGGAAAGATGGATAAATAAGGTTAAAATGCATGCAGGTCCTCATATTACCAGTAGGGGGTGCAAATGCTATTTGCACTGCAAGGTTGTTTTTTGTATCCAGTTTTTCTTAACGTTTTTTAAAAACTTTACTAACAAAGTATTAGAAGTGTATAATGTATAAATGTAAAACATTGGTAATAATTTAAAACAAATTTTAACAGAATTCAAAAATTGTTAATAAAAAAACAGGAGGATTTAAAAAACAAAATAATATAAATTTATTTCATGATATTAGGTAAGATGCAGATCCTTTACAATATGGAGAGTTCTAAAAGCTTTTTGTTTTTTTTTTCACATTTTTGATATAGTTCATACAAAATGTAAGTTTTACAAGAACTAGACAAATGCAAGGTTTAGATCCAGTCCATTTGCACTTTTGAATGTGACATTTGCCGAGGATTATTAACAGTTGCATTATATAAATCATGGACGACAGTGACAGCAGGTGCAGGATTTTGCCCTGCAATCGGAAGGTTGTCAGTTCGAGCCCCGGAGTCGTTCAGTGTCGTTGTGTCCTTGGGCAAGACACTTCACCCGCATTGCCTACTGATAGTGATTTGAGGGCCCAGTGACACCAGTGTACGGCAGCCTCGCTTCTGCCAGTGAGCCCCAGGGCAGTGTTGTGGCTACAATGCAGTTTACCATCATCAGTGTGAGTGTGAGTATGTGAATAAATGAATGTATTGTAAAACGCTTTAAGTCTGCTGACTTGGAAAAAAAAGTGCTATGTAAGAGGAGGCAATTTACTATAAAGCATCTGATTTAAAAATTAATTACATAAAAAGTATGACAATGATTAAAACATACCTCCTCCACCTTGTTGTTAATGCAGTAATTCTGTATCATTTTGACACTAATCGTATAATTATGTTTTCCCTTTATTTCCTGTGTTACCCCCAAGCTGAGGCCTTGAACCGTTCCCAAATCACCATTTGTAGAGTTCACTGACTGGAAAAAGGTATTAATGCATATAACGCAGCTGTATACTTTGTAATTTTATACCCTCTTTGTCATTGCTGTGCTGCTCATACCCATCTTCAGCAATCCATGATGAAGAGTTAAGAGTACACCCCCCCAGACACGTTGCCACTGGAACACAGGGCAGCACAAAAATGAAAAAAAAAAGACATCCATCCACCTACTCACACCTAAGGGGAATTTAGAGCCAGCCATGCAGGTCTTATAAATGTCACATTAGGCAGTAGGGTGCTATGTCAGTGACACACCATCACAGGATGTCCTGTATGGTCACTAATTATCCCATTATTTAGATCCGCTATCTCTACTTAGTTAAAAAAAAATCTTTACACATCTGTAAAGAGATGTTGAGGTTACTGGGAGGTTGGTTCTGTTGTATGAAGCCCTGGGGAACACAGGTGGGTGAGAAAAAAAAAAAAAAAAAACTAGTAGAAAGTCACATTTCACTAGATGGCAGTAATGTCCTCACAAAGGTGGACAACAGTGGAGACAAAAAGAAAGCATCAAACAGAACCAATACATTTTGCATTATACAAAATAATAATAATGCATGATTAACTTAAAACTATACAGTGACAAACTATTATTGAGGTAATTCTATAGATGTTAAAAATACTTTTTTTTTTTGTTATTTTAGGAAAGCCTACTCATCACCAAGGACATATGCACTCTCTCACACCTCCTCCACAGTTCCCACCCGAAAAAAGCACTCAAAGTTAACCCTGTCATGCATTGCTATCGTTGACACATCTCTCATTTAAAGTCCTGATACCATTTAGCCCCTAATTTTTTATACTACTTGTAGATTTGTGTTCAAGGTAACCTTTTCAACATGTCTTTTTGACAAGACATAAGATTAAAACACATAAAGTGGCCAAGCTAGAGTCTCTACTTGGATCTGATGGAGAATCTGTGAAACTCAGAGAAGGTTATCATCAAAGATAGACTACTGGAAACCAAGCTGGCGGTCTCAAATTGGAAACACTGGTGGAAACATGCAAACAACTGGTCAACAATTATAAGAAGAGTTTCTATTGTTGTGCTAATAAGGGTTTTTCCACCAAACAAAGATATTTCAGATCATCCTGTTGCCAGATTTGGCAGGTTTTAGGTGTGATGATAATAATTTACAAAAGGACATGGAGAAACTGCTTCTTTTGCATCGGTTAATGTGACAAAAGAAAAGATTTTCTATGCAAGAAGGAATAATCTACAAAAGAAATGTTGCTTTACTTAAAAAAGCCAAAAGGTACCATTTAAAAAAAAGTTCCTGTGAAGAATCGTTTAAATTATGATCTATTTGTGATATATATCTACTTTCTTGTTATACAAAAAAAAAAAAAAACAATTGTACCTTGACAGAACATTGCTACACTTCAATAATCTTCTTGCATAATTAAGGCTAGATTCTGGACCACTGTGTCGGCAGAATAGGAAGGTTTCGGCTGCTCTCCCTATTCCCAGTTAGTTTTGACGTATCTCTTTGCGTAAATCAAAATGTGTCTAAATTCAACCATTGCTATATCAAAAGATAAAGTTGAAAAACTTGGAGATGGTCCTTTTTTAAAACTCCATTCATCTGGTGTGTGATGCACATGCAGCTCAGTGTAGTATCCGGTTTGTTGCCCAACAACTTTTAGCTTATTTAGCTCTCATGTTAAAGGGGAACTCAGACCGCCATAAAGCAGCACTCTGGGTCACATGACTCACTGAACGACTGATCCGATGCTCTCAGATCACATAGGCCAGTTATTGAAAAGAGCAGCCCTAAAGGAGCATCTATAAGCACCATGTGCTGCATTTTGATAATTAAATATATCTCAAATTAACATAATACTTTGTTGAAAAGCTTCTCTTTAATGGTCTTTGAATCTGTCTTGTGGTACAAAGAATCTTTGTTAGCTACTGTCAAAACCAGATCTATGGCATGGGACACCCTGTTTTCAATAAACTCTCCCAGTTCTGAAAGTTAAAATGATTTAAAACCTTGATAATGGCTTGAAAAGCTGCTGGCTCTCCTGTGTTGTGTAATTGTTTTTTGGTTACTTAGATGCATGTTGAAATTACATATGTGGCAGGAATTTCAGAGGAACCCAGGAGTATTTCTTCTAAACACCATACCACTGAATTTAACCCTAACAATACTCTCTGAGCGGCATTATTTATGCGAGGACTACTCAAACAACATCAGAAAAACTAAACAACTACAGCACAGCAGGGTAGCTTATAATCTACTCTGCAAAACTCAACTTTGTACACTTGCAGCTCAAAAACAAAAGGGCACATCTTTAACAACCAAAACGTTTAGACCTTGGACAGAGAAGACGGAGGGTTTGAAAGAGGAGTGAATGAAGCCATCTTTGTTAAAAGAGAAAAGCCATCACTTAACAGATGGGAAAGGATTGTGGTTTCTACAAAGCACACAATTCTGTCCTGGGACTCATTCTATAAGGTTAAACAGTCTCATCACGGTTCAAATAACCGAACATGGCACTCCTACAAAACAACAGACTGCAAAAACCCAGGGCAACGACAGTTTGGTCATTGAATTGCACCTGACTTGGAAAGTGTGGAGGAGGAGGGATATTTTAAAACAGCTGCGCTCCACTTAAAGGTTACTTTAATATATGCTAAAAGAACTGACAAAGAATCCTGGATAGGTTTGAAAACATTCTTAGAAATACTAAGTGAAAGTCTGTTTTGTGACAGTGTTAACTTGCCGAGTCTAGGAAGCACCTGCCCTAACCAGGCCATTTCTGCCCTGTAAACAACATGCCCACTTTCTATGATCACCCAGCAGCGATAAGAGGCAAAGCTCAATTAGTTTTTGTTGGTAAATCATGAAGGTTAAGCGAATAATCTGCACAGTGGCGTCTAAATTAAGGCAAATGTCCTTTCTCCTGAGTGGAAATAAAAGCACCAGGAAATAAATATTTCAGAAGAAACACTTTATAGCACCAAATGCAACATTTTATCATGGATGTCCCTATTATTAAATGCAGAAGGCTTAAAAAGCCACTTTCAGCCTTTGTAAGGTCTGTCTTAAATGCAGTCTTCTGTACCAAATTCCTGTTGTCAAAATTTACTTATTGTTTGTCGACGATCATTTACTATGGAAAAAATTATTTTTATGCATGATTAAAAACACAAATGTGATATGAGATGGGTGGATGCACATTGAATGGAACAGTTTTTTAAGTTAGCCCATAAGAGATTGTTATGTCACATAAAACCACAATTTTGAAAGACTTTTATGCCATTAACCATCTGATGGAATCAATTTTCTCCAAACCACCAAGTTTTTACTTGCATTATTTCTTGAAGCCAAGTAACAATGTACATTCTGTGAAAAAAAAAAAGAAAAGAAACACCATCTGCCAACCAATTTAACATCAGTCAAAACTGAGAGCTTGAGATATCCTGTGTGAAATCAGGAAGGAATAACTAACAAATGAACCCCCTAAGGACAGAAAAAGCACTTCCTGATTCCCAATTCCCCTTTCTTACGCCCATTAGACTTCAGATATGCAGCTACACGGGATCTCCAAACTCTTAAACTTAAGAACTGAAAAAAAAAAAAAAAAACTGAAAAAGAGTTCAAATTGATGGGACTTTGTGTTTGCTGAAAGAAGCCATTTTGTGGAGGTATGAGAGGTCATGTAAACATTAGAGGGACCCAACTGGAGCATGCTGCAGGGAGATGATTTGTTGAGACGGTGATAGGTTTTCAGCTATCACTTTTGTTTAATTTCCTGGTCCAGAGGCATTGTGATCCTTTAATGTATTACTTTATATGGGGTACTGACTAAATCTGCTTGTATGCATAAATGCATTTCAGCTTCTGTGAGAGGCCGAAAATCAGGCAGGAAGGGTGTGTGTTGAGTGGTTTCCTCTCTAGTAGCTTGACTGATCAGAAAGAGCAGAGGGTGTGAAGGGTGTGTTCTCATTGGGTTTTTGTGGTGGCACTTGTGCTCCCGGTACTAGTTGTCTGTGTAACAACACAACTGTAGTGGTGTTGCAAACAACAAGAAGAAGGAGGAAAAGAAGAGAGCTGTGAACGTGCACAGTCCTGCTTGTTGACTGTTGAGCCTTCGCTCACCTTCCTGTGGCTCGGGTCTTTGAGAACCTCAGTGTGATTGCAACTTGTCCATGTGACTTGGTTTCCGTTGCCTGCCTGCTTCCGTGAAGAGTTAAAAAAAAAAGGGGGCACTAGCGGTTCAGTCAGAGACGAGTGCTGCAGCTGAAAGTCACACACATGAGAGCTCTTTCTACAACGGCAAGTCACTCGGCGATATGGTCAGGGGATCAACCGTCAGTGGCTTGGGAAATCCACATCTAACCACCAGTGTAAGTAAATGCACTCTGCTCTAATCAACCACTGCAGTACGCAATGAGATGCACCTAAGAGAGCCTCAGTGAAAGATGTAGAATGTTTAATTTGTAGTGTGTTTTAGTAATATATAGGACTTATATGCTCTTAAGGACAGATGTTCGTTGCTTTTCTTAAATCACAAAGTCTCAACACTAAAACAATGTCTTTTAACTCAACACGGGAATTGATATTGTATCTATATAAAGTTTTAATTCACAGTGTTAGTACCTCCTATGACCTCATAATTTGCTGCACAGCAATTTTATTAAACTTGTAGTATTATAACAAGCAGGCTGTGTTGTGCAACTGTCTTTGCATATGTGTTTACTGTCACTGTGTGGTGCATTGATGAGAGATTAACACAGCAGCAAAAAAGTGGTAAAAATAAAAAGATTTATTTTCTTTATGGCACCTCCAGGTAAAATATGTTTGTATTCACAAATGCATAGGCTACCAATGCGTGCAGGCAAAAGGGGAAGACAAAACCTCCATATTCCAAACGCATGACAGCGGTTTGAATAGAAATTTGGGGAAATTATTGCAAAGCTGCTGTTCTCATGAAATAATATACCACTTTCTGCTTTCTGAAGAAGGATCTATATTCTAAACGTTCAACTCTCTGAAATATTTCACTTTGTCATCAGCACATAGATGACTGTAAAGCGGTTTCATGTAGCAAACAACTGAAGTATTGAGGTTTCCAGCCATCAATATAAAATTTATAAAACAAAGCTCTCAGTCAATCATCTTAAAATGAATATTTTATCTCTGTGCAACAGCAGAGTTGTTGGGAAACCATCAAAATGGAAAACACAAAGTTATGTAATTTACAAAAAAAAAAACTTAAATAATACTTCTTTATTTGCAGTATGATCTTCTTTATTTTGAGTCAGAATCATATGCCAAGCTTTGAAAGTTTTAAAAGCATAAAAAGTTTAATGTCGAAAAGCTTTATTATAATTTCCTTTCATTTTTTCTCCTGTTTAAGTACTTGTATGTCTAATTATGCCGTATCTGATGCCTCAAAGGATTATGGTCGTCAGTAAGAGTAAAATCAACAGATATTATATGGTAAAAGAGGATCAACCTTTTCTTTGTCACTTTTGTTTTTAACAGTGAGGATGATAAAATGCCAGTCCAAGGTCTAAATCCCATTGTACTTTGCTTATTGGCCATGTGGAGAATCTTGACACCAGTCTTAAGTCATCCAAAATTCAACCACTGCCACCAGGTAAGATGCATTTCTCTCTCTCTAAGCTCGATAACAACATTTTCTTTTTAAATACTGAAAAAACGACAGTTAAAAGAGCTCAAGAAGATATTTAGAAAAAGATAAAAAAAAAAAAAAGGTCAAAAAGGTTTAACAGGAAAATTTGATTCAAGCTAAATATACCAAAGAAAAATTCCCTTTCTTAAAGATTATTTATAAATTGCTTTCAAATAGCTTAGAAAATTAATTCAAGTCCTGACGACATGTAAAATCCTGAAAACGAATTATGAAATGATACACACATGCCTATTAATAATTAACAAAAAACCCACAAAACATTCAGAAAACAGCTAAAGTAACTGTTTTTAAAGATTATAAGATACTCGTACATACGGTAATACAAGCAATGATTTGACAACAACTATGATGCCATGAAGTACTGCAAAGGAAATTAGAGGGGCCCATATCAGAAGAGGCACGCATCTTGGTGGTGGGGCATTTTATGGGGTGTTCCACGGGGTGCAGTGTTGGGATCGATAAAGTTAAACTAAACTGAATTTTGAACATTAATGTGAGTTATACACTTTACACATGAGATACCAATTTATTTTGTCGCAGAGAGCCCTGACAAAACAGCAACTTTAAACCTTCATGAAGAGAGGATCTAAACATTTTCTTTCATTTTTATTATTTTTAAAGGAAATCAAGTCTAATAAATACATATTAATGTTCTCTTTTTCAATGTGAATACTTGAATTTAAATTCCTAAATCATTTTTTTAATCACAAACCGTTAGGGTTAGGGTTAGGGTTAGGCTAAACATAGTAGATAAAATTGCGTACTATCTTCTTTAAGGCTGCAGCAGCTGTAACATATTTTTAAAAAATCAAAGGACGCGTCAAGACAAGAAATCCAATACTTGTGTAAATATATTTCCATTGTCTAGAGTATTTTTTAAATTTTCGAAAACAGACCCAAATGATACAACTTTAAGAAAGCATCAACTCTTTTTTTATTACTTATTGAAACCTACATTTTTTAGAAATGATTCTAAATCAACTAGAAAAAGGGGACTAAATTTAATTTCAGTCTACAGAGCCATCTCTGTAAAAGAACAATTTTGCCTGATGTTAGCATAATAAAATGTGCAAAGTTAATGCTGCCATGAAATTATTATGATGAGGTTGGTTGTTAAAATAAAAAAATAATGCATGTTAATCTGAGAAGCTAGCTGAACCTGCATTATTTACGGCTGATAGTTCACCCAGTAGTATACAAAGCATAAGCTGCCATAGGGCTTTTGTTAAAAGTGTAATGCAACATACATTACTGTTTATAACAAACCTATTATCATGTGGACATATTAACTTTTCTAAAAGTTGTTGTCGGTTGAGATTAAGCCAGATCTTTGAGATTTTTTTGACCAGGTAGCTAGTTTAACTTCATGACAGGAAACCCCATGAAAAAACCTAACTCTACTTGCTTTTATTCGCTCTACAGGTACATGAAAATGCTGTCTGCAACAATGCTAGACTGTCCTCTGTGCCTGAAGGACTGCCCCAGACCTTAGAAGAGCTTCATCTGAACTACAATCAAATTAAAACACTACATGACAAGTCTCTCCTTCCTTACCCTTCACTCATCACTTTAACCTTAGCTTGTAACGATCTGGAGAAAGTACAATCAAAGGTCTTTGAAGATTCAAAGTTATTAGAGAACTTAAATTTTGCAAACAACAATATCTACATTGGCTATGAAGAAACCAGTGTTGCATTAAGAAAGCTGCCTGGTCTTAGATTTCTAGACCTTTCTGAGAATAAGCTTAATGATGAAATGGCTTTCACTCTTCTTCACAATTTATCAACCCTGGAGTACCTAAATCTTTCTGGAAATCTCTTGCAAAGATTGGACGAGACCTCGTTCAGGGATCTTCACAACCTCAAAGAGCTAGATCTTCAAAGAAACATAATGTTTGAAATCGACAGTGCCTTTGGCGGTAACCCGAAGCTTCAGAGGCTCAACTTGGCCTTTAACATTTTGCCTTGTCTGACCGACTTCCACATGACTCAACTGGTCGTCCTCAATGCCAGCTACAACTACATCGAGTGGTTCATCTCAAGGCAGGACCTCAACGACACGTTCAAGCTAGAGACGCTTGATCTGTCAAACAACAGACTCCTCTTTTTCCCTTTCTTGCCAAGCCGCAGCAAGTTACAGAACCTTTATCTCTCCAACAACCTTCTAAGGTTCTATGAACACTATGCAGACAACAATACGCTCCAAAACTCATCGACAAGCGTCGAGTTCTATAATCTGAAAAAGCACATCAAAAATGTGACTGTTGAGATATGGGATGAAAGTCTTCATGGTGATATTTCTTCTCTGGACACTTTAGATTTGAGAAGAAACCAGGTGGAGTATTTCCCTAATGGGTTTATACAAAAAATGCCCCTGCTGTCAAGACTCCGAATGAGCATGAACTGCCTAGAAACGCTCAATCTCACATCAGAACAGTTCTTCGGCAGCCTGTATGAGCTGGATATCAGCAACAACAGACTGAACCAGATTTCAGTGGATGATGAGTCTCTCACCACATTGGCCAACCTGACTTACTTTAACCTAAGCCACAATGACCTAAATGAGCTACCTGTTGGTTTATTTTCTTCGTTGCCAAGAATCCACTCCGTAGATCTGAGCTATAACAGCATTGGCATTTGCCAACCAGATGAAAGAAATATCAATGCAAGCAGCAGTTCATCTTGCTTGCAATGGAGCAACATTGATTCCCTTAGGCAGCTTTACCTTAAAGGTTGCAACCTTGAAACTGTTCCAAATTCTGCATTCACAGGTTTGTCACTAACACATCTAGAACTGTCAGATAACCCTGGCATTGATGTCCAAAATTCATTACAATGCTTAAGCAGGACATTGCAACATCTTGGCTTGGGAAACACTCAAATACAAGACATTGATCTTTCCAGGTTTCAAACTCTAAAGTCACTTAATCTTTCAAAGAACAGTCTTTCCCATCTCCCTCATTCGATTCATGATACTGACTTAAAAGTCCTGGACATAAGGGACAACAGACTCTCCACCATCCCCTCTGATGATGCTCATTCACTGGCCTCTAAACTCCATTTGATTTTTCTCACAGGAAATACATTCAACTGCTGCCAAACACAGTGGTTTTGGACATTTGAAGAAGCAAGGACGATGAATATGGTTGGGAAGTCAGATATCATATGTGAACATCAATCTATGCTGCACAGAGTGCAGGACTCACATAGTCTTGATTGTTCGGACGCAGAAGAATCTATCGTGTGGTACATTCTGCTTCTTGTGCCTATTTGTCTATTTTTATCCGGAATCTCTATTGTTGTTTTTCTTACCTTAAAGCCGAAAATCCTACAAATATCAATCAAAAAGAAATATTTGAGACCAACACCCTACTAATATCTATAAAACTTTAAATGTGAATGTATTTTGTATGCTATCGACAAAGGTAGCTTAACAGATGTTAAAAAAGTGAAATAAAAAAATTCCTTCGAATGCTTTCCAAGGTAAAAAAAAAAAAGTACTTTGGTATGTTTAACAGTCTTTCATTGCTTGCACTGCTAATTGAACTGTGGTTTTAAAACCAGCCCGAACCCTAATACCGTCATGTAAAACTGCGGCTGCGTTTTTGTGGGTCTCGGTTTGTCAGTGTGTAGGCGTACGTGTATCTGTGTGAAGGCATGCAGAAGTAGTGTGATGCAAGCTGTTGCTATAAGCAGCAGAGGAAACATGAAATTTCCTGTTTTGCTAAGATGTGCAGCAACTGCCCAGTTCTGTATCTCACAGAGGAGGGGTTTGTGGTTTCCTTCCCATCAGCGCAAAGAAAGACTCATCGTCGAAATAAGATTCCAGCTCAATGATAAGTGTGAGGAGTTACTCCGGACCCCTGTGCTCAGTCTTTTAAATAAAACCTGCTGCATGACCTGTGTCAATGCAATATCTTTATAATCAGTGAAGATATAAATGTCTTTGAAACAGCGTTGCACAGTAGGAAGCAGCAGAGCATTTGTACCCGTTTTAGCGCGATATGTGTTGTTGTGCAGTAGCAGGGAGGTTGGTAGATAAGTGTGCTCTCGCATAAAGTGCCGGAGTCAAACCAGAAGGTAACCAAAATACCACTGTGGTGATGCTCAGGGTCATGGTGGTTGGAACATAAAAAGAGAAACCAGAGTGAAGCCTTCATCAAGCCTCAAAACTTCATTACTTTGACAAGTTGTTACCTTTTGAGTTATGAATGCCTAATAATCAAAGCCTGATTTTTGTTCTTCTGCTTTAGAATAGTTGTTAAAAAGTAAGTAATAATACAGGTTTACAGACTGTTCCAAAAGGCTGTGATGAAATACTCTCAACAGAGTGTAGAAGCTGATAAGAGCAAGAAATAAACCAATGGCTTGAGGTCTTTGGTGTGAGTGGAATTCCAAAAACTAAAAAAAAAACAATCCAATGGACTTTGTTTTTAAGTTCGAAGACGTTTCGCTTCCCATCCAGGAAGCTTTTTCAATTAAAAAATCCAGATATTCCTTTTTTTTGACCTGGATAACTGAGAATCTTCACCAGCAGTTTCAGTGTTGGCCATTTATGAAAACAATGTGACCGCCTATCATTATATTGACGGATGCCTTCAAAGTAAAGCTTCAAAGAAAAGCAAATCTGCCAGGTGGGGAAGAAAAGGTAAATCTGGTTGAGCAGCTTGGCATAAATAACGACTAAAAGGCAGATCATAATCATTTCAGGAAGGTCCTTCACTGCTGCTTTAGCTTGAAGAAAATGAGGAATTCAGTTTGATTGCTCAACTACAGAAGACAGATGTCAGCTTTAATAAACAGCTTAAAGGGCAATAAACCTTTGACCACAAGTTTTCTGAGTCAGAATCTATATCAAGAAGGCACCAAGTACAGGAAGGTAAAGCAAACTAGAAAAAAATATTTATGTTTTATTTACTGGTAAATAGCCAAAATGTGGTTATGCTGAAAAAAGCTAAACACAGGATGCCAAATATACACAGCAAATACACGCATGGAAGGCTGTATGTGCAACTTGCGTATGTGCTGCTTCTCACAGATGAATGCAAATAAGTTTAGAGAAGTGAAATTGGATGTGGAATAGCTGAATTAAAAGCCTTCTGCCAGAAACTGTACACATATGGGCTGCAAACCTTCAAATGTGCAACTAGGCACGCTTTACCAGAAGGAGTTAGATTCATATAAATATGGCCTGTACCAGCCACAGGAATCCGTCAGAGCAGCTCTAATCCGGGTACGGACAATTGCGGATGTCCTGAGCTTTCTGGAACCAGGACATAAGAGGCAGATTGTTTCTAAGTGGAATCCAATGAGATTATTGGACACTAGCTGTATTATATCAACGAAATCTTAGGCTTTAGGCTGAGGATGTATAAAATGCATTTCACTGTTTTTAGAGGATCAAATAACATTTGTGGATCCAGTTACAGGACAGGTAATAAGGACATACTCAACTATGTGCTGTAGCTATCTGTAAAAAAAAAATCCCTTCTATCTATCTTTGCCTGAAATTAAACAAACTTCCAGAAGGCAGGCTATTTCACAGCATACCACTGCCTCACTATCCACATCATTTTTGTTTTTTTAATATCCTCTTTGAGCAGTGTCGTTGCCTGATGTGACTTCTTGCTCAATGTCAAAATTTCCCCCGGCTTTGTCACATTTCTCTTGCCTTGCAGTCACACATGCGTGCAAATATGGTGGTTATAAGACACATACTACCTCTCAACTACTTTTTAAATTGGGAACTCTCAGTTAATTAAAAACCATTGTCAAGTCTGATTTGACAGGTTATGTTACATTTATACGTTTGTTGTATAAAATTATTTTTGCAATAGTAAACCAGTAGCCGTCAATCGGGGAGGTCAATTCATCCATCCATCTTCCAACCCGCTTAATCCCAAGTGGGGTCGCAAGAGGTGCTGGTGCCTATCTCCAGCTGTAAGTGGGTGAGAGGCGGGGTACACGCTGAACAGGTCAACCGGGCAGGTCATTAGGACTATTTCTTTACAGCAAGTTGGAACAAAAAAAAAAATTAAACCCATCTTTAACTGATTTGCAAGACGTCAACTTTTCCAGGATTTGTTGTGGACAAATTGGAATAGAATACACTATGTATTTAATTTACTTTTTATGCCTCCCACCAAATTTATAAATATATAAAAACATATATTTACACTGGCAGCAAAATCCTTTTCTTTTTTTATTATGTTTTAACATTTCTGTTATCAAAGCAACAGCCTGAGTGAAAACAGTTTCAACAAATACAGAACAAACTCTACCATAATTATCTCCTCAAATCATTTTCACAATACAAAAAAACAATGAATGGTTTAAAAACAAACTCTGACTTTTGATACCAGGACCAACCGTGTGTTAACCAGCTACTTTCGTAACTTCCCGTAGAGATTAGATCCACTGTATTACTAATGCCACAACTTATAGATGAAGGTAGACAAGAGAAGATTCATTTAATTTCTTATTTACTTGTGAATCAAAAGCAAACTCCTTTCTGTTCCCACAACGCTTTTTTAGTTGGTTATTTTAAGCAAAGTTATTCTCAGACAAGTCTTTTAAGATCACTCTGCAGACAACGTAAAGTGACTTACTGAGTAAATGAAGAAGCACAACTTCAAAGTTTATTTGCTTGTTTAATGAAAAACCATTTTTAAATAAAATCTAGTTGTTTATTAGATATAAAATAGGTACAGCAGAAGTGGGTAATAGCCAATTTTTGGCCCTGATACCGATACCTGATACCTGGCTGTGCAATATCGGCCGATACCGATACCATCTGTTTAAAATTGATACTGCATACTACTTGGATGTAAAATAATTGCCATCATGGCTTTGTCAAGCTGCTGCTTACCTTTGTGAAGCAGTAAAATGACTAATACAAAGTGAATCCAGTAGAATTTTTTTATTGCCTACCTAGAATGGGTGACAATAATTTAATAAACTTTTGGCTCTCAAAATGGTATCGGTGCCCCATTTGTTGGTACTCACCAATACCGATACCACCATTTTAGTGCTGGATTGGGGCCCCGCCCGATACTGGCGTCGGTGCAACACTAGTAATAACAACTCAGTTACATATATTTGGGAAACCTTTTTGAAAAACATGTACTGTTAGGAGTAGCTTTACAGCTTTGTACGTTTTACTTGAGTAAATCTGGTAAAGTATCTGTATTCTTAATTGAGTAAAATGTCTGGCTACTCGATCCACTGTAAGTAACTTCACTTAATGAAAACAAGTTTGTTTAAAACAAATATGCACCACTGAGAGACTTACTTTCTTCTTTTTTTGGACTCAAGGCTTATTGGTTTAGTGCCACTTTCTATCTGAGTCTTCTGTGTCATTTAGAGGTTGATTTAAAGCTCAGTAAACAGTATACTCAAATTTAACCTATGCTTACATACAGTAGCTATTGATTTTTAAAGTTTCACTTTACCTAAAAAAAAAAAAATTTCTTAAATAGTATTAATTCCACCAATATTTTTATTGGGTAAATGCTGTTTGTTCATTTATATCTTATTCTTTGAAAAAACAGAATTTGCATATCACTTAATATATTGTTTAATTTTACAAAATGTTGTAATATATTAAATGAGATATCACAATGGGTAGCAAGTAGATAAGTTACTCAATAATTGATTAGCATTTTTTACAAATACTTTTTTACACTTGAGTAATTTCTTTTAAAGGCTACTTTTAACTTTTACTTAAGTAAAAAACAGGATGAAGTAGTGCTGCTCTCACTTGAGTCCCATTTTTGGGTACTCTACCCTTCTCTAGGTATCAGTAATATTCCATTCTGCTAATACTGATCCCACTCGCTCCATGTTTAGCACAAGCCCCGTTCAAATATGAACAGTTCTGCTACTTCTTTTGTGTAGCGTTGGTTGTTGTTTAGTTCTTAGGTAATCAAAAGGTAGAGAGGGGATGCAACCCCTGCAGCTTCCTGTGCAAAATGATTTCCTAATGCATCAGATCTGATGTTCTTAATCTGATAATTTAACTCAACCGTCAAAAGGACGGCTGATACTGTAGTTGTGTAGGATTTTATATTGTAAAATTAACATGATAATAGCAGTTTTAGTGCTATAAAGGAGAGGTATTGCACACTTGTGCTGGAAAGTAGCCACCAAAAGGCCCTATGAAAACGTGCAGCTTTATCAAGCAGCGCAATGCCGTAGATGTTGCAAATTTTAAGGGGGTGTGCAGTTGGCATGATGACTGCAGGAATGTCCACATTGCAAAAATAGGAAATTTAAATTTAAAGTTTTTTTTTTCTTCATTTAAGGAGGTAAGTAAGACACTTTGCTATTGGAACAATTTCAAGTGCATATCATCTAATTATCTTATTTTTCAAGTAATAAACTCATTCCATTGGCAGATCATCTTATTTACCTGCTCAAATTATGGGTAAATACACTTATTTAAAGAATATTTCTTGATTTCTTGATCCCCCTCTATTTGCTACCCATTGTTAGTGTCTTGTTAGATTTGATACTAAATGATGAAATAAATATGTAGCATTTGCTAACATTGTGCCATTTTTATCATGTAAATGGTGGAAGAAAAAGCAATACTGGGTTCATAATTTTTTTCCCCAAAATATCAGCAGCACAAATCAGAGAAAAATAAACAAATTTGTAAATATTCGTTATTGCCATCAGTTTCCAAACAACCTATTAGTCGATCTCTAATAATGCTTACATTTGATGGTATTAGTCACTTTGGAAAGGTCTTCTTTTTATGGATGAATCCCAGTTTTACCCATACAGGATGGCTGGCAATGCTGTGAATCAAACTCCTTAAGGGAAGGAGCAGCTGTAAGTTATGTTAAATTGGGAACAGGTGCTTTTTATTGCACCTCAAGGGAAGTGGTGGCCTGTTTGTCATAGCCAAGGGCATTGGCTTTTTGGAAAACCTGCGAGATTGCTGGTTTGAAACTCAGACTGTCACTCTGGGTACATGAGAAAACCTTAATCCTAAAATGTTCAAAGGTGCAACTCTGAGGGTTTCCTAACAATTTAGACCAGAGGACACATTTCCACATGGTAAAACTATAAAGAGACATTTCCTTTCCTTTTTCCTTTTCTATTACTGGCATTTGAAATGCGCCGAGATGCAGGGACAAGATCCAGAGGACCATTGTTGTGCCATTCATTCATGACCATAACCTCATGTCTGACCCTGCCTGACTGCATATTGCAAGGAACTGTACACAATTCCTGGAAGCTGAAAACGTCATTGCTCTTGCATGGCCAGCCAATTTACTGGACATCTGCATATATGTTTGACTTCCCATATTTCCGGCCAGCATCCAGCAACTTAACACAACCGCTGAAAAAGAGTGGTCCCATATTCCACCAAGCTGACCAAGTGAGGAAATGAAACTGATTGGTTTCCTGACCCCTCCAGCCAAAGGCAACGCCTTTGCAACGTTCAACAATTTTAAATGGCACGCCTCTGAGGTGGATGGATTATCTTTAAAAGGTTCCTGTTTGGCTGTGACTCCATCCTGGAGAGAAATATCAGCTGTGCTGCTGCCATCAACACCTTTGTTTATAGATGTTGGAGATCGGCCTGTTTTACCGGTGTAGTCCTGTTTCTCTGACTGTGACTGGCTGGATGTGCTCTCTCATTCTCTGACATGGGAGCTGGCTCGGAGCTCGTCTGCCTGGCTGTGTGTTTCCTGGATGGAGCCACCTTTTACAGTTGCTTTTTGTATCTATGCTTCTGTCTCCTTGAACCCCAGTCGGTCTCATCAGATGGCCGCTCACACTGAGCCTGGTTCTGCTGGAGGTTTCTTCCTGTTAAAAGGGAGTTTTTTCCTCTCCACTGTCGCTACAAGCATGCCTAGTGTGAGGGATTTAATTCGAGTCAACGAGTTGATGCAATCAACTGGTTTTCCTTAGATAGAAAAGGGTAAATCAATCTGACTGTATGATCTGGTGAATCATGTGTTGTGAATTGGCACTATATACTGAATTTAATTGAAATGTGCAAGACTTAGATCTTTGGGTCCAGCTTACAAACATATGAAGATCTAAATACCAACTAGAGATAGGTTATACAGGTCAAAGGTGAAAAGAGAGGCTCTAAGGTTGCATTATAGTTATGATCTAGAACATGGAAACATGATCCTATATATTATCAGATGCATAGGCTGCTTATTAGTCAGCTTATTAGTCAACACGCAGTTTGCTAAACTCACTTCCTCTTTATACTTTCTGCTCTTACAACAGATTGTTTGCACTGAACGTAGCGCTTAAACTGGAGGAGCTCAAAACAAATGTTTTGAAAAAACTGTGAAAATCTTAAAAAAAAAAAAATCTAAGAAAGGTTTGAAATAGCAGCAAAAAGTTGCATTTTAACCATTGATTTCTTCAGCAAACAGTCGCTTCAGTGGTGTGTTGGAGAACCGTGAGCCGCTAAAACAGCCTGGTACCTTCACGCTTGTCACCACTGAGCTCTATTTATACATTGGATTGCTGATAGGCCGTTGGTCGTACACGGTGCTGTGAAGTCACCAGACGCCATATTGGTACTCCCTACTTAGACTGGTTGGAATTCTCATTTTCAGTGGGGCTTAAAACTTTTAAAATAAAGATAAAATCATCTCTTTGACTCACACATGCTGTGTCACAGCATCAGCAGATTACTGTGATTTCTGGTAAAAAAATAAACACTTCACATTGCATAATCAGTATGCAGTCCATGAAGTCTATAAATCATGTAAAATAACATATGATACAAATTCATCAAAACAAAATTAGTGTAATAATAATACTGTAGTCAGACATTAAGAATATTACACACACACAGACACACACTATGTGAGCCAAAAGTGCTAAATTGATGATGTACATGCAATATAAATGTACCGATTACATTGTTATGGTAATTACATCACATTCCAGGCATTTTTATGGTGCTTCCTGAAAGTGGGGAGTACCAAGATGGCGACAGGTGATTTCAGTTTTTCGATCTATCTGCAATCCAGTGAATAAATAAGAGATCAGTGCTAGTCACTAGTTTGGCTGCACACTGATGTGAGACGACATCCCGTTTTTCAACTAGCATTACCTTCACTAGCCACTGTGGTTGTGTTGTTCCCTCTGGTTTCAAACAAGAATCTCACCAGAGTTCTGGTATTTTGAGGTCAGGACTGGAAGCAAACCATTCCACCCAGTCCACCTTCAACTCATCTCAGCTTTAAGTTTGGTACCTAAGAGTAGAGATATAGATGAACCACCCGCTGCAGGGGATCATGTGTTAGATGATGTATTTGAGATTATACTCAATGATCCTCTTTGTTTTCCAGTAGAATAGTTGATCCTCTATACCACTGTGCTCTTTCTGTTAAAAGCTGTTATTTTCAGGTTGTAACACCTACTTATCTACTTCGAGTCAATGATTCGATGCAATCAACTGGTTTGCCTTAGATATAAATCTTTGAATCAATTTGAATGTATGATCTGGTGAACTGTAAAGGGCCTTGAGATAATGTGTTGTGAATTGATGCTATATACTGTAAATAAACTGAATTGAATATTGTTTTTTGGGGGCCTTGATTCTATAGAACTTTTTAGTTTCTATTGTGTTTAAAATTCTTGCATTATAAAAAGATTTTTTTTAAATAATGGTATCTTTAATTCCAAGACATTTTCACAGCCAGTTTCTCTCAGACTATTAATTTCTCCTTCCCTGCCCTCTAGTGGTTGCATCTCTAAGTACAACTCAATCTATAGTTTTCATTTAAACTGAGCAATAATATCAAAATGTCTAATTTAATAGCTCATTTTATATTTATTTTACAACCACAAGCCACTGTATCGGGTACACAAAATACAAAAGCAGAATTTTGTTATAATAAACTTGAAATGTCCTCAAATGTAACATAATACAATTCTTGAAGGTCTTTCATGTAAAAGTGAAATGCAAGGTTGATGGAACTCAAGATGAGTTAGTAAAGTGTCAAGGAGGTAAAATATCTTAACTGCAGGCATTTTCTTTAACATCAAGCTGATCAAAACCAGACAAATCAGTTACTGTTTTTTTTCCCCCCAGAATAATGGCAGAATTTATTTTTTTTAAGCGCAGTCCATAGGTCATGACATAAAAAAAATGCTTTCCAATCAGGTTGGAAAATTTGTTTTGAATATCTAAAGACTGAGCTAGAAAGCTCAATACTGAAGGTGAAGATGTGGAGAGTAAAATTAGAGCCATCTAATGGACAGCAACAGTTCACTAAAGCTTCATGCAAATACATCTGTGGCACAACAAAAAGAATACAGTCGAAATAAAAATAGTTACTGCTCCATGAGATCATTAATTATAAAATAAGACTTAAAAGAACCAGCATCAAACTGCTTCACACTGAAGTGCTGTTTTCTCTATTGAAGAGATGTCCTCCTTATACACTCTTAGACTTATTAGCAGGAGGATGGGGGGCATTTAGGTTACCATCTGAGATGTATTTTGTAAACAAAATCTTAAAACGTTACTGCAAAGACTTCTGCCAAATATTTCAGCTTGCATGGCGTCAAACTCAAAGGCATCAAAGCAAATTTACTGTAAAGTAATGAGGAAAAGCATCCATGTGCTCACCCGTCACTCAATTATATTCATTCTTGCTCCAGTCTGCAGCATTAAAGACTCCATGTTTTTTTGATTTTTTTTTTTTTAGTTTGTTTTTTTTAAACAAAAGAAACATAAAAAAAAGAGATAGAAAGTGAAGCCTGTCCCTGCAGAATGGCATAAATACAGGATCACAGCTGGTTGTGCAGGATGGCAGAAGGTGTGCTTCAGTTGAGCAACTCCAGGTAGGTGATTGGCACTTTGCCCTTCTGGTTGCCTCGCTCCCCCATCAGCCAGTCTGAATCCATGCCCGGGACGCTGCTGACTGTAATGACCTGGAAAAAAAAAAAATAAATAAGCAAAGAGAAATGAATCTTTTCAGAACTATTAAAGTAGTCGACACACATATAAAGCCTGACCTGGCAGCACAATAACCTTATTTGTTTTTTAAACTAAAAAAGGAGATTCTTACAAACCAATTTAGCCCCCCCCCCTGATTTAATATTTTCCTAATGGTCCTCTAGATGTGAAAATTTATATAATGTCTAGAAAACTGGATTATTCTTGCAGGAAAGCTAACCCTTAGATTAAGAAAAAATGTCCAAATGGTAGACACCTAGATTTTATCATAATCAACCTTTATTAAACCAAGGTAAGACTCAATGAGATCAAAGCGTGTCCAACAGTATTTAGTCAATGATTGCAAATTGATTGATTTTGCAGAACCCAACCGAATCTTAAGCCTTTCAAAAGATAAAAAAAGAAAGAAAAAATTCAGAAAGCAAAAGATTTTTAATGATGGTTCACTGCTGATAAGTCACATATATGCACTACACCCTTTCCCTAGAAAGGGAGTGGCACATGTTCTACTAAGGAGATGAACTTCTGCTGTCCTGCTATCAGAGGTCATGGGGTTTAAACAGATGGTGCGACTCTGCATTAAAAATTAAAAAAGTTGTGACCCAGAACTATCTTAATTCTTTAAAGTAAGATGTAACAGGCTTATATTGGTGGAAATTATGCCTAAGAAAGAGCCAAGGGAAGAAATCTGTAAAAACAAGTTTTTACAACAATACTGTGTGGAAAAAACAAAGAAAAGAAAGTTCACCTCGTCAGCCAGCAGGGAGAGTTCATTGCTGCTGGCAGCGTCATAGTCGTAAAGGACTCTGGCTTTGCGGCTGCCGTTGGAGCTCCGCAGCTCGCTGAATCCGCCTGACGCTGAGGAGCTGGCGCGGCCTGCAGAGACGCTGGGCAGAGAGGCAGAAACCGGTATGGTTGGCACCGAGATGCTGGCCCCGCCCGACATGGACGACTGGTTGTTGTTGGAGAAGGAGGACGGGAAGCTGGTGGGAGGGAGAAGACATGATTCTGGAGGCTGCTGGGACTCTGAATGCAAAACTAGAGGCTGTTTGTCTTCCCAGATGCATACATCTGCTGTCTGGTTTAATCATTTATTTAATCATTTCTGACTCTTAAGTCTTATCTCCTAATTCCTAAACTCTCAGCTCCTGAATGAGCTCCACACACCTACAGTTACAGCAATAAATCAGCAGTTACTCATAATGAAGACAAGCTAATAAAAAACAAACATATTGACTGCTAATGCATTAAAGCTTAAAAAAAAAACAAAAAAAAAACTTTCAAAGTGAATCTGTTCCACCTGCCGAGCTGCTTTTGGAGGTCCACCATGTACTGGTAACACTGTGCATAATAAGTCGTCTGAGCTTCCACAAAGTCATTCAAACAGCGGAGGTGATGTGCCTGAAGGTGTGCATGAAGAGAAAGCCGGAAAAAAACATTAGAGGGATTTCTATTTATATCAAACATGTCATAATTGAGAAACAGCTAAAACCCAGCAGGGTTAACAAGGCTGTCCATGTTTCTGTGAGGTCACATACATGGGTGCTGCTGACGCCCTCTAGCAGGAGGCGCGTGATCTCAGCTTGTCGGTCAAACTCGCTCTGGGTCATCCTCAGCTCCTGCTCCGCCTAAAGAGGAGGAAACATAATCATTACACAGCAGACCTTTTTTAAAAAAAAAAAAAAATAAAACCTACACTTCAAACCCCTCAGCTTTAAACAAACTGTCCATGTTACACAGCTTGAAATGTAACCAGAGCTGTTTATAAACTTATTCTAAGGTTTCAGGTGCAAGTTATAGAAAGTAAAATATAAAAGGTATAAACTAAACCGATTCCCGAAAATTAGCTTTTATTATTAAGCAATACAAATCTCTAACGAATGACATACAATTGTAACAAGCATTCCCACAGCATGATGCTGCCACCACTGGAAGATGGATTGTTTAAAAGTAGTAGGTAGGATGATGATGATTTTTTTTTATAAAATATTTTTCATTGGCTCAAGGAATTTTTCCAGTACTACCAAATCAAGTTTGTGATTGTAATACTGAAGAACATTCATGGGTAAATCCTTTTGCAAAGGGGCTGACTGTGTGTTGCGTGGGGGAGATGCAGAGAGATAGCAGCTGTTGACCAAACTGCCATGGGGTTTAGCGTCTGTGTTCAAATCAAACATGGCTCCAACATTCCACTCACCTCTGTCACTTCCTCTGCTCACATCTGCGGCTTTGCGTAAAAAAAACAAAACAACAACAACAACAGTGACACAGTGGTTAGAGCTACAGCTGCTGCAGGGCAGGAGCCAACACAGCACATCCTCATACTCTGCGTTGGTACGGAGGCGCCTTGATAAAACCACACTCTGTAGGAGGTTAGCAGGCCTGTGATGATGCGGCCTGTTCAATAGTTCTCAGCTGTTGCTTTTCATACAGCTAAACACTACTGCCACCGTACCAAAGCAGTGAAAACAACCAGGAGTTGGTGTTAACCCACAGAAAGTAATAGTTACAGCTCAGGTTTTCAGCTCCGTCACTTTTCTTTTCACATGAGTAGACGTGTTTACTCCCATTGTATTGCAAGGATCTGAAACATTAATTCCTTTGAGCCACAGGAAGATAAAAACTGGCAACATCTGGTCAAATTAAGTCTCTAAAAGGAAAAGACAGAACTGATGAACCTTTCCTTAATTTTCCAAGTTAAGGAAAGGTTCTATAACTGTATATAACAGTTCTATAATTATTCTAAATGTTTTACAAATGAATAAAAGTAAATAAATATAAAAGTCTGCATACTTTCACATTTTCGACTCTTTTAATGTAGCTGATTTATCTCCCAGAAGTGAGCATAGTAGCTTTTATTACCCGTCGACAAACTTCATCCAATACTTCTTGATCTTTTATTTTATTGTTCTTTTATTTTGTTTTACTGATTAAAAATAGATTTCTACCTTCTGTGGTACATTGGTCAACAATTGTTTTAAACACTGGGTAGAAATAAATAGGCTTTCCTCCTCTGTGATAGGAGGTTGGTTTGATTCTTTTTGAAACTAACTCGTACCTGTTGTGGTTTCTTTGTCTCAGAACAATGTCTGTCTTTAGCACCATCACTGAAAGCAGCGATAAGGATATCAGGTCTGCTTAACCCACATTTTATCATCATTACCATGACTGTCAGAGAGCTTTCGGGTTCAAAACACCAAGAAACATCAGGTGTTACCATCACTGTCATTACACTCACATTAGGTCATAATGCTACTTAAATATGGCTGATTTTTGTTGGCTAAATGGTTGATCTCAACCAAATAACGGTAGCTAATAGCTTCACAATAATACAGCCTAATTGTTACTAGAAAATCCACAGAGCTCTTCATGGCCTGTTTCTTGCACAGCGAGGAGCTGACTGTGTGAAGTGGCCACCTGTTTATTTGCATGTGGAGCAGATAATTGAGATATAATCCCAAAGGAACTGGTTATAACATCAAATCAGCTTTTACTGCTCAATCAGCAAGGACACATGTGAATACAGGAGGGTCTGAGGTTCATCACAAATGTAAACAAAGAAAATCACTAAAATGATGAATTAAAACTGCAAAATTCAGCCACTATAGGGAAATAAATAACTGGTATAAGATTTCCTTTGTTTCTTTTATTGTTGGTATGTCTATATAAGTTCAGGAATATAGGAAAACAAGGTTTTTCATTTTTTCATCTCAACAAATGTTTTGTTTTTTGTTTTTAGATCAGCAAAAATATTCCTACTTCTGAAATGAAATTAATTTAAAAAACAAAACAAAAATCTAATTAAATTTCCAAAAAATCTCAATGCCTGACTGGGATATACACCTTAATGATACAGAACCACTTTAAATAAATATTTATTACAGTATTTTGCAGCCCTCTTATAAACACATTTAAATCAGGACAATGAAGGAAAACTGTAACATTTCCAATACAAGAAGTTAGGAGAGTTTTTCAAAGTCTCAGATTACAAAATTTTACTTTAAGGCACTTTTTAAGAAACTGGGGAAAAACTGTGACCTATAAAAGTCTCAATTGAAGAACGCAGCGCTTCAAAATAAAGAAAAGCTGGGCGTGACAAATAATAAAAATAAAACCAGCGTCCAAGAAAAGGGAACTCGAAACTTCCCATCGTTCCTCAGAAGACGGGATGCGAGTCAGAAAAGCTAAAGAGAATCAGCTCAGGTTGTGCAACTCGTGTTTGTCATAACTTCTTCAGAGGAAAAAATACATTTCACGCTGTTGTGAAGAGATAGGCGTCACTAAAATGTGGATTAAGAGATGCAAAAACAGAATTGGTAAAAGAAAAAAGGATTTTAGCGCATGAACTTACTGCAGCTCTTGCATCAGGCATCCTGGCTTTCTTTAGTCTCGTTTTGGCTGCATCTAGATCCAAACGTTTCACTTGTAGAAGCTTTCTTTCTTTCTAACAAAAAACAAAAAAAGAAAAACCATCAGTGATAAACTCCATGGATTAATAAGCAGTCCATTACAGATCAAACTTTAGGTGGAAATGATTAAAAGTTTAAGAGGTGTGATGTCACCAATGCACCGTTTATCTGAAACCCACACAAACTTATCGAATATGGGGTTAAGTTCTGGAAAACGACTGAAGTTACAGCTCAAAGTGAAACTCAATATAATAATCAACTGACACCAGCTGTACTTACCAGGATGGTTTTAAAGTCGCCCTCTAGAAAATTTCGAAAAGGCGTCAGGAAGTTGATGGCAGAACTCTGGATGAACTCCCGCTCGGCACCGCCGATCTGCTTCTGCGTCTCGCCACATTTTATCAAAGCGTTTCCTGTCGCAGTGAGCGGCAGAAACAACAGTTAACATTAAACCTTTAAAATGCTCAGAAGCTTGAACCTAAACCAGCCTAAATGTGAGATTAAATGTGTAATTCACTCTGGCCCCTATGAATGAAACATCAGAAGAATGTTGATGAGAACAACCCGATGTTTTTCAAACCGCTGTCTGTGCCTATTGGCCAACGCTATGACCAATGAGCGCAACTGACTGACGTAGCAACGCCAGTTCTAGGGCCTGGGGCATTGATCACGCCGCTGGCGTGTGGGGCTGGTTTACTAGGCTAGGAACATCTCTGTTCCTAACTTGATATCAGAAGCTGCATCACAGAAGGTTTCACACATCCTTCCTGTTTGGTCCTAGAATTCCGGATAAATCCCTTAAGTTAGCAGCACAAAACCAGTCCTCTAAATGGATGCTTATAATGGTTGAAAGGAATCAATACAGTTGAATAGAGCTTCAACATTGATGGATGTTTATGTGGTTTAATAGCCACTAAAATCAGATTTTCTGTATTCATTTCTACTACTTTACTATCTTGACACACAAACAAAACAACAAAACAAAACTGATTTCACACAAGAAAAATAAGGGTTCTAGTTGCTAGGCAACACTGATTATTTGAAAATCCATCTAAAGTAAACGTCTAAATGATGCATGTATCTAAATTTTCAGATATCTAAATCCTAAATAAGGAGCATTGAATTTGTCTGTCCAAGTCTTAATCTATAGATCCGGCTTTCAGAGTTAAACTTTGTTGATATTTTATTAAATAGTCTTTATTGATGCCCCTTCAGGCTGGTTTATATACTCTGGCTGCATTCTGTCTTTTTTCCAGTTCAGTACGTCCACCCTGTTTTGCTTTGGAAAGCATCTTTAAATAATGAATCCTTCAGAATAAAATAATGAAACTGAAAAGAACTGAATAATGAAATTAGGCAGACAAAAATGTATCAGTTTAGCCTCAAGAGGGGGATTCTAAAGAGAGAAATTAGCTGACATGTTGGCACACAGCGCTTGATCAGCAATATGATGACTAATCTTTTAGGTTATCTGTCACTTTATTGTTTGATTTTTGCCTTCATTTTAAAAAACATGGTTTTCAGACACTAATCATGCCATCTGAGCTGCGTTTATGTGGCCTTGTGCTTTTCTTTTTTGGTCCTCAACTGCCTACATTCTGATTTCAACAAGCATTAAAGACTAATATGCTAAAATTGCCTGTTAGCAGTATAGGACACATGTGTAAGGGGTTAAGCGTGTGACTTTTGTACGAAGGCCTTAGTCCTCAACACAGCTTTAAAAGTTACAAAATCATGAAAAGAAACAGATGCAAGGGCCCAAAAAGAAATCTGAAAAAAAAGGTGATTCCAATATCTTAAAAAGCAACTCCTAAGACGTTAAACGCCTTTTAAAATGTCTTAAACCATTCTCTCACACACACTATGTGACATTGCCCTTGTTTAAATATAAAATGGTTACTTCAGGCAGGAAGTCTTGGGGGGGAAAAAAAATATTTAAATGGTTTTAAGAGAGAAATGGCTTAAAGAGAAAGAGTCAGAAGGTCAGAACTTCACAAAAACTAGAAACTGTCAGAACTGCCAGAGTTCACCTCTGCTTGATTTTAGAGTTCAGACCAAAGGAAATGCAAAGGAACCATTTTTCTTTTTTGCTTTCCCACCATCAGACTAAACCTTAATCCAATCTGAGAAGCTTCCAGGCCTTTTATTTGTTGTAAAAACAAAGCAAAATTGTAGGGGGGGACCTAATGTTTGCTAAGTGGCATCTGAGCCTAATGGGTTCAGAAATCCAACCAATTCGTCAGTAACTTTTTTTTTTTCTTCATCCCAACACATAAATCAGTAAAATACCTAAAGTAAAATGTTATTAAGCAGGTATAATGTTTAAGATTTCCCAGTGTTAGACTTCCTCACCGTAAGCAGTCCCAGGACCAAAGTCGCTTCCTGCATCCATCATGGACTGACCCAGCAGGTCATGGTTGTTCATGCGTGTGGGGGCTTTTTTCTCCAGCTTCTCGTACACAAATTCTTCCAGTCTTGCATCTAAGGGATCACAACCGGATAACTCGATTACAAAGTCATGAGACATCACTGGGCTGACTTCAGCCTGACTTCAGTTATCTCCAAAGGACGCTCTGTTAATGTTAACCTCGACAAGATAAACAGAAATATTCCTCTGCTGGTTCTAATTAGATGTGTTTAAAGTTACAACATCACGCGAAAGAACGGCAACAATCACAGTAAGCTCATCTGTGGTGTGTTTATCATTGAAACAGAAAATGTAGTAGAGCAGACATGGGGGACTGTTGCACAAGGGAGTAAACCAGCAGATGGTCTGGGTGTTTGTTGTGCCGATGCTGTAATTGGGCTGCAGAGGTATGGCATCATGGTGTGAGCTGCAGAGGATGCACAGCTGAGCTCACACACTCTGCAGACGCCCCATCAAACGATGGGGCCCAGAAAACAGCCTCATAGGGATGTAGGGATGCAGTGAAATAAACTGGAAATTTTGGCATGCATTGGCGGGTCATTCAATTCATGAAATGCATCAAAAGTTAAAAAAAAGTCACTCCATTCTCAAAAGTTCTTCCCAAGTCAAACATGCAATCCAAACCTAAATAAGAAGTAATTAAAAAAAAAAAAAAAACCAATTTAAAAAATAATATCAGTGTTTTTAAATTCATACATTCGCGCTTATTGTTATTTTTGCCCTCTTACTTGGATTAGGCTGTAGTAAAACCTCTGTCTGCTTCATGATCTTCTCTGTCCATTGCTTGGTGTTCTCAGCTCTGGCCAGCAGGTTCTCCAAGTGGGCATCCAGCTCAGTTTTCTCAGCCTGTCCAAGCTTCTCTTCTGTAAACTGACAACCAAAAACAAACGTTTCTTTTCGCTCATTTTGCTGAACAGGAGCGATTTAAACAAAGAAACACCGAGGAGTCAAGTTGCTATCCGCTCAGCTACATCTTTCACAGCTGTTTGATGGTTTCCGAGGCCTGCGTCGGTGGCTATATGGAAACGAAGACCACGTAATAATAAAAAACAAAATAAAATAAATAACTAAACTAAAAGTAGAAAGAAGTGTTAAGAGCACAGAGGCTTTCCCTCGGGTGATAACAGGCTACTTAGCTGCACGCTAAGAGCAGCAGTGACAGTTAAAACCCCTCAACTGAGCTAACTGGATATGCTAGCAGCTAAGTTCGCTAGCAACGACTTCCACCTTCGTTCCAACAGTTTTACTTACTTGTACTGCACGACTCAGAAAAGTACCGGCGTCTGCCGCTAAACGTTTAACGTTAAAATCCATGGTCCAGAAGAGAAAATCCACTCCTGACACTGCGGCGGTTTAATCTGGCGCTCAGGCTGCCATCCCTACACAAAATGTCATTGAAGCAATTTTTTTTTTTTTTGTCAGAGTTCCACCCAGCTGTTGAAAGTGACAAAGATCAGACAGGCCAAAGATAGTTCCCTGCTTCCGCCCCTTGTTACCGAGCAACGAGTCGCGCATGCGCAAACGCGTTCGCAAAGAGACGCTACAGTACATATAGAAAATAAGACGATTTAGACAAATTTTATTTAGTAATTTTGTACACACAAGTGTAAACAAAAAGACATTTCATTAAGTAAAGCTCTCTCTCGACGTTTTAATTTTTTATGTGCAGGTAAGCAGCAGTGATAAAAACATTATATAATACATAATATATAATATAATAAATTAAAAAAAAGTGATGTAACTGTAGTGTATAGTACTACGAAAGAGGATAAGGGCCACTGATTTTTTGAAAGTGCAAGTGAACTGATTTTTACATTTCATTTTAGTTTAATATGGGGAAAAAAGTCAGAATTCTGAGAAAAAGGTCAGAATTTTGAGATTAAAGTCAGCATTATAAGTAAAAAAGTCAGAATTCTGAGATTAAAGTCAGCATTATCAGTAAAAAAGTCAGAATTCTGAGATTAAAGTCAGAATTATGAGGAAAATAGTCAGAATTCTGAGAAAAAAGTCAGAATTCAGAAATTAAAGTCAGAATTGTGTGGAAAAAAGTCAGAATTCTGAGATTAAAGTCAGAATTATGAGGAAAAAAGTCAGAATTCTGAGAAAAAAGTCTGAATTTTGAGATTAAGTCAGAATTCTGAGGGCAAAAGTCTAAATTCTGAGATTATATATATTTCTTGGTCTGAGGTTTAACACTTGCCTCATTTGTATGACAAGCTGTGTTGTAAATAATAAATGTCCTTTAAGTTTCTTTTTTCTCCTTGCGGCTAAATCGCCTTAGTTAAACGTTTTAATTCCATGTTTTGTAGCAGTATAGTGAGGGCACCACCTAGTGGAGCTTTGAATTATTGGTCAACCAGTGTAGACTAGTGGACAAGTGTGTCATAACAATGAAATCATCTAGTTATAACTCCATAGAAATTGCACACACTAGTTTCCAAATGACTGTTTTGCACACAGTTTGATTAATTGTATGCAGGGATGAAAAATGTAGCCAAAGACTTGTGGAGGTTGAATCAGACTGCAATGGAACTAAACAAGCCTATGGTTACTTTAAACCTTGATTCCCAACAGGTGATACTTGTGCCCCTAGTGGTCCGCAAGTGCATTCCAAGGTGTACATGAACATATTTTATTTCTCACACTGAAAAAAAATAATGCATCCGCTTTTGGCATTTACTTAATCAAATTTGCTGCCTGACCATATAGGGAGGCTGTTCTGGTTTGAAAAAGTTCAATTTAAACAAAACCAATTCTGTCGAGATGAGCGGTCCAAGGATTATTGTACTGTTTGTATTTTTTTAACTGTCCATTACAACAACAACAACAACAAAAAAAAAGATGTAATTACATAACTAATGTAAAATCCATGCATAAACAATCAAACTGGTTACGTGTTAAAGACAGTCTTTGATACTCATTACTTTTATGTGTCAGAAACATTGCAGCAGACATACATTATATATTACGCAGCAGACATATACTATTATGAATAAGATTGCTTATTGATCAATCTCAAGGTCAGCTAGTTGATTATTCAAAAAACATTGACCAGTGTAGCATGCTATATTTCTTTATATATTTAAACATCTTAAAATGTATTTTATGCATTTTTGTATCACACCACACGTGTAATTTTCTTTCATGTCTTGTATGAGTCTTTGTATGGAGCAGAGGAAGAATAGCAGCAGCATCTCGCTGTAGCTAATGGGGATCTGCAATAAATACAAACACAAAATACAAAAATACCTCTATGCATAACAACAGAAAGATCAGAAGAAATGCTCATCTGGTTTACAAATGTAATAGTATATAGGGGCTGTATTTTCTTTTTTTTAAAGTGGGAATGAATGCATAATTAAAAAGAAAACATTAAACAGGCTATCTCATGTTAAGCTATGAAAAGGAAATAGAATTTGACAGGTTTTGTGGGAAAAAATACAAACAAACTGAAATACTTTTTATGTCTGGATATAAACATAACAGAAGGAGTATGCTTTCTGCTGACTGAAGACAGGACAAAGAGAAAAGCTCCTATTGGTTACAATTTTTTGAACGTTTCTGAATAATAGCAACCAAATCCAAACTATAGCTGCAGTTATGCAGAGTTGACCTACAGTACACAGCTACAGCTAAAATCATGTCCCCCCAGTTATGCAAAGCACCCATCATTTGCATTAAATACAGCTCGCATTTCAATAAAGCAACATAAACCATTAAACATTTCCGAGTTTAAACATTAAACTACTTGATATCTATCATTTCTCTACAAGTGGGCTGGAAAAGATGGCCTACACACATTCTTATACCCACGCCATGTTAAAGACATAAAGTCTCTGGCATTGCCTCGTACTTGGCTAACTTTCAGGAGTGTTGGGGTGGATGCTTTAAACATGTGAATATAGAAGTCAGCACTTTCATAAAGGCAAAGAGGAGAGGAGTAGGTTGCAATCTCCGCCGGTTCCAGAAGTAAATCTGTCCGATGCTTCTGTTTCACTTCAAAATAACAGAAAGTACCCATAAGGGATGAGAAAATAGAAATCTTGCTGAAGCTTGACTGCAGCAGATGGCTTTTCCATCAGACTTACTCCCTAAGATTAAGCTGCAAAGACGATAAAAGACCAATACAGATATGGTTGTTCAAGTTTTTATTCAGAGCACACATTTTACACACATTTACACACGTTACACACATTTTTTTATTCCCCTTTTTTATTACAAAATGAAGCTTTGACAAAACAAATATTTTCAAGTTACACTCAGCAGGGTACTTTAAAATGCAACTGTCATGAATTGCTATGTCAAAGCATATCTGTAAGACAGGAATGTCTGCCTTTGTTAGAAAATGTCAAATTAGTATGGGTTGAAATGAATAGTATCAATGAAATTTGCTAATTTCGTCCCACAAATTAGGGGATTATGGGATGTTAATCTAGAATTGCTGCTGTTTGCTGACCAAATTTTTAGCCAGCTCTAACAGCAGAGGGTATCTGAACGTCCTCTTCCTCCACGATTCAGGAATTCCCTGGATTCCGGTCTGCAAATAAATTGCGACAGATAATTTGAAATTATATTGATTCATTCTCAGGCTTTTTATTGATTATTAGCATTAAAATGCTGCACAATATGGGAGTCAAGTAAAGCTACAACATACAGCTTTTTCCCGTTCTCCTTTTAATAATAATGTAGTATTAATAATCATACCAAAGATCTGACTGACTCACTAATTCTTATACTGGAAAAATCTAAATCTAAGTCATTTTTTCTTAAAACAAATGTATTTGTCCTTGGATTGAGGACGTAAAAGAGACATTTTTCTAATGGAACAAGACAATTTATTAAAATAAAATAAGAAAAAAATTGCATATTATCTAATTATCTTATTTTAAGAGTAAACATACTCATTCCATTGGCAAACAATCTCATTTACCTATTCAGATTAAGGGTAAATACACTTAATTTAAGAAATCTTTACTTATTCCTGGATTATTTTTCCAGTGTACTTTACCTGTGCCCCGAAACAGGCTCCGATGAATGAGGCTCTGCTGGCGGTGCATCCCCCTCGGCGCATGGTGTCCCTCACTGCTTCATCAAGCTGACTGAGAGTCAGGACTGCATGCAGCGCTCCCTGGAATGCACCGGGCAAAGCTGGACACAGACAGACACAAGGAAGTTTTTAATTATCTACAAAACACTATCATTTGCTGTGCTCTTTAGATGCCATTAGTAGGGATGTGAAACAACTCTAGCAAGGAGAACTTTAAAAGCTTTGCTAAAAACCCTGAGACAGTCAACTCAGCAGGAAGGACAAAATAAAAAAGGAGGAGGAGGGGAGACCATTACAGATCAAAGGCAGAAGGGCCTAATGACGGATCTCCTTTAGGAAGGAGGTTCAGGCGATGCCAAGTCAACAGACCTGAGTCCTGCTGCTTTCTACTGGCTTACCTCATGTGTTGGTGAACACAGCAGGTATGAGCTGATGGGACGCTTTGGCTAAGTTCTCCTTCACTTGGCTGATATGGGCTTCAGTTGAGACAGAGAGAAATAAAAACAGTGGTTAATTCTTATCCTAACAGGGAAATTTTAGACTTTACTTAAAGATGACTTCTGTTCTGTTTGATTTTTTCCGTCTGCTCTCGTCTAAAGGCTGGGGGATATCACTTTCCACTGAATAAACATCAACATGCAGGAAACCTATAGGAAAGGCTTCTAGCTGAAGGATGGCTTATTATTAACACCACCTCTGCTCGGTGGAATTAAATTTAAGGAGTTGTCTTGATTGGATTGAGGTTCTGGCTCATTTCACTTGATGCTAATGTCTGTGTTTCCTAATCAAGATCTCATTCCTCCACTTTTTTGTTTATCCCCCTAAACCTATACGTTAAAACTCCCAGTTTCCAAGTTTTCAATATCTACGGTAAAATCACCCAAAAAAAAAACAACAAATAAATAAATAAACGCCTAATGATTTTTACATTCAAAGCCCTGGGACTTATTTGAACAGGATTACTGCAGCAGATGAAGAGCAGGAAAATGCTTACCAATGACAGCCCTGTCCAGATCCTGAGGGTTGGACCTGTTGGGGTCATTCAACTGAGCCACAACTGCATCCAAAGCTTTGGGATCGTCGCCTTTCAGGATGAAATGCTCCAGGAACCTGATTTAGTAAAACAGACACACACAAATGTAACATTTCCCTTTTGTTTAGAGTTGTAATCTGCAACCATCACTGCCTCTCTTTAACTCAGGGGCGTTTCTAGATGGATCGCCATGGGGGCCATTGGGACGCACCCCTACCAGGTTATTTGTTGTTCCCCCTGGGATTCAATTCAATACTGGAACAAGCAGTTCTCCATTCAGCCTGATGGTGGCAGCAGTGAGTGATACCATTATGTGGAATTTCCTGCTTTGACATTTTACTGATGCTATATTAACCAAGACTTGATACAAAAATGCAGCAAAAAATAAAAATAAAATAAATCACAACAATACACTACAAAGAAAGAGTACTAATACAGAATATTTGCTCTTTTATGAATTAGCTTTCAGGTTTTATAGAGGAAGGTTTGTCTCTGCAGTCACTTAGAAGTCTTCTCTAACAATAAAGAACATTGGTCAACCCATTTAATGTATATATTATGTAGAAGCATAAATTAATTTAAATGGAGCTAATGTATCAATATGCACATAACTTTATCAGCAGGGACCCTCATTAAAATCCAATCTGTCTTCAGCGATTTATGTGGAGAATCTAGATGTTTTTTTCTGTTCATTTTCCTATTGTTTCATTTTAATCAATATTGATTGACCATAAGATATCTTTGGCATTTATCAAATTTTCCCCAGTTTACCCCTCAATGCACATTGGCCCCTAACTGACCACCCCTATGAACATTTTCCGGTCCACTGATCAGGGCACCTTGCTAATGTTGCCCCTCACTTAGCCACTTTTTTCCCCCTAAAAACTTCCTAGAACTGTTTTACCTTGCAGCAGCCAGAGTCACAGCCACACACATGTCGTTGTTTTGGGTGACCCGTATGGCGCTCTCAACTTTTTCCAGCATGTCAGGCCTCCCAGCGAACATGGCAACCACTGGAGCGAGTTTGGTGACACCGTCCATTTGGCAGTCCACGTCGCAGCCTTAGAAAATGCACAGTGGGGTTAATATGCTGAACATGATACACAAGATGCCAGTGGGAAGGAGTGTGAAAGGAATCGATTATACCTGATTCTTCTTTTCCAGCATCGACATTTCTTAAGAAAGCCTTCAAGCTACCGTTCCTCCACGGACCATCAATGGGAAGAACAGCTTTCGGACCTGAGCAGTGGAACAAAAACTGTTATATGCTGCTGAGAACACAAAATGATAAATTCATTTATTAAGGGAATAATTCTCTTCAAACGAGTCTGTTGTATTTTTTTTTACCCTCACTTTATTACATTATGATTTAATTAAATAATTTGACTGATCTGCATAAATTTTGTAAGCCAGTCTGTATGGATATCTCCAGACATGTAGAATCAAGATAATTCACCAAACTAGAATCAGTCTGCTGATATGAAGTAAACAACATCTGAGGCACTACAGGTGTTCTGTCAGAACTGCATACGCTGTCAGATCTGCATACATTGTTGCACATCCGCAAAGATAATTATTCCCACAATGAATTTTAGCAGCTATGTACCGACCAGCAAAAACAGGTTTATTTTAACTTTTAAAAAAGAAAATCAGCTTTTATTATACTGTTAATTCTTGGACGCAGAAATGACCAGACATGATTGAAGTTTCCGGGATGTTTGCATCTGTAGCTGATGCCATATTAGTCAATATTTATATACCGTAAAATAAGTCACATTAGTAAAAAAAATGTGTGCCGGTGAATTAAAATTTGGTGAAATTTTGTTTTCATGTCTTATAAACATAGAAAACATTGGCTGCAGCTTATGTTGTGACTCAGAATTCATATAGGTCAGATAAAAACAAATAATATGCCGATCTGACAGTGTATCCTGTTCTGACAGAATACCGGTCTCACATGCATGAGGTAATGCCCTCTCATTAAAGAAAATGATACATTCACACTAGTAATTTAACACAAAACTGGAAAAACTAATAAGAAATAAAAATAAAAATGTAATAAAATAAGATATTGATTTTGAGTTTTTGTTAAAAAAAAAATATAAGTTGAAACAACAAACTGTCCCAGACAGATTAAAGTGCCTCACTCATGATCATATCCTTTTTTTTTTTTATCTGTAATAACTTTTGTCAAGTTAAATTTATTTTACTGGCAGCTGTTATTCTCTGTCTTTAAAGGAAGGGTATGTAAACTTTCAAGCACACTGTCATGTCTAGAAATAAAGAAATAGAGAGAGGGAAAGGCGGAAAATGGCTTTCTAGACTCATCTAAAATGATCTTCTGTGAATTTATTAAATAAAAATGTGTGTTAATGGTGTATGAGCTTGAGATCATGGATTTAATGCACTGTTTAACAAGGAAAAGAGAAGTGGTCCAAAATTCCCCGAACGATGTAAAAAATGTTTGATTGATTCAGCTTTTTTTTTAAATTATTTGGTAATCCAAAACATTCAAAAGTAACTGGAGAATCCTGAATATAGGGGGAGATTCAATCATACCAGGTTCAAAACTTCCCCCCAAACTTTCTGAAGTTCAGGTCTCTGTAGGGGGTTTGTGTTCAGTTATGATAAAAATCGCTCTAAAAAACTGATGACGCTATGAGACTAAGACATCCAGCTGTCTGTGGTTTACTGGACCCAAAGGTGTGCTGTGCTGCTGTGGTAATTTACTGCACAAATGTATTTTACATGTCATCCTAGCAGTAAAACAAGGCAGCAAACATTTACAGTGCAAGAGGGAGTGAAACCAAGAATAGGGAAGTAGTGCGTCCTGCCACATTTATATAGAGTGGGACTATCTCTTCTGCAAATAGAAAAAAAAACACACACCAGTTTGAAAAGTGGCTCTTACATCCTCTCTGGCCAATAAAGTTGGTCATTAACGCTTAAGGAAATAAATACAAAACAGAAAGTTACCAGAAAAGCAGACACTGCACCTACCTCCTTTTTTCCTGTAGGGATCATTAAGGGGCAGATCATACACCGTTCCTGGTCCAAAGAACTCATAGAAGCGCTTAGTCAGGTCTTTCACATCCACATCTATCAAAACATATCAGAGTATAAGGAATAAAATCAGAAAAAAAGATTAATTTGACCCAAACATAGTGTCTGCCTGCTAAGGACTTCTGAATAAGAGTCCAACAGGTTGAACTTCTTCATAACGTACTTTTTTTCACTGAGAAATAATTAAAAAAAAGGCTTGAATGTTTTGTAATAAACAACAAAGTCAGAGCTCTGAAAATATCTTGTTTTTGTGTGTCACACTTCTGTCTGCTTGTTTGGGTGAAGTCCAGTACCTCCACACTGACTCAGGGACTCCAGCAGGACGTAGGCCTGGTCTCCATAGCAGGTCTGCTCACCCGTCGTCCTGCGGTAAAAAGGATTCGCTGACTGAGGCCGAAACTCTGGACAGGGCTCTAGATCGGAGAGAACTTCTGTCAGCCTGTCTGGGTTGTAAATCCAGTGCATCGGTTGGGCTGTAGGGGGTTAAAAGAATCAGAGAGGTGGAAAAATAGTAAAACATTTAGTAATGCCTCCCCCTGCTTTCCTAAACTGTTTTTCCTTCTGTTGGCAGACTGTGTTTAACACAGAGCCCAGTGCCTTCTAAAAGTATTCCCACCTATAAACATTTCCAATTCCATTGTATTCCATGCATATTTAATGGATTTAAATTGATTGATCCACACAAAGTAGTGCTTAATTGTAAAGCATAGTGAAAAGAAGGTATGGTTTGAAAATTATATTTACAAATATAATCTCAAAAGTGAGGTGTGCGTTTGCATTCAATCCCCTTTATTCTGATACTCCTAATTAAATTCCCGGATGAAACAAATAAGCTGAAAATGAACTTAAAGGTACAGTGGAGGATGTTCTTTTTCCAGGTGGATCATCAAAATAAGTGGTCCGCCTAATTGTCATTCAATCTGGTGATATATTTACGAAAGGCCGTCCTACTTGCTCGCCCCCATTTTCACTTACTGGTGGTGAATCTAACAGGGGAAAAATTGAAAATCTTCTTCTGGAAAGTGTGTTCATATGAGAGATGCAAACAGCAATTTGTAAACAAAGCATGCACTAAGAGAAATGGGTATTCTCAAAAATGATTGAAAATCCTCCACAATATTTTAAAATAGTAATTGTCATCCACCTCTGTGTTATTTTTATCTCTGTATATCAGGTTAGGTTCTATAAAAAGCTCAGTAAGAAATGGAATAACTATTTATTTAGCATTTCTCCACTTTTCCCTTGGTTTTCTATCTATGCTAAAAGGAAATCATGAGAAATTCATGTTTTACCTTTTTACAGACATGAAGTGCAGACTTATAGAAGAATATTTAGTCATATTAGACTGAGGAAATAAGGAAATCTACCCCCACTGGTCACCTGGAACATGCATGGCTATCCCTGGTGTTCAATGGGTGACGGCATCATCATGCTGGTTAAATAATCTTCTTTAGTTAGGATAGGGAAGCTGGTCAGACTTGAGATTGAAGTTTGATTTGGGCCAAATACATGGCGAAAAACAACCCCAAACGTTCATCCAGAGCCAGGGCTGAAGGGTTTGAGCCTATTAGAAGTCCAGACCTAAGTTCAACTTGATCATTTATATTCAAACAGCTGAGTGAAAATAAAACAGATGTTATTATCTTTGATTTAAAGGAGAAATGATCAAGAATCAATGCGTAGCTTCAACCACTACATTTGCCTGGCTGTGGGTTTCCTGGACGGGGCCACCTGTGAAGCTGGTTGACAGTAGACTTATGTATCTTTGCTTCTCTCTGTATGTCTTCTTCTGTCTCCTTGAACCCCAGTCAGCCTTGGCAAATGGCCCGCTAACACTAAGCCTGGATCTGCTGGAGGTTTCTTCCTGTTAAAGGGAGTTTTTCCTCTCCACTGTCCCTACAAGCATGCTTAGTGTGAGGGATTGCGTTTGTGTCAATGAGTCGATACAGTCAACTGGTTTTCCTTAGATAGAAAACGTTGAATCAGTTTGACTGTATTTTCTGGTGAACTGTAAAGTGCCTTGAGATAGCATGTGTTGTGAATTGGTGCTATATAAATAAACTGAACTAAATTGAATAGAAACCTTGGAACAGAAGCAAAATCTGTGTGTAGTAATGGACACGACCAAAACACACATAAAAAAAGTTGACTTTCTACCACCTGAAGAACATTTCCTAAATTAAAGAACTAATGCCACAACAAGATATAGAGAAGCTCAGCCATGCTTTTATCTGTAATTGTACTGATTAGTGCAACAGTATCTTCACATATCTGCCAGAAATATTGATCAGGGAGCAGCAGCTGATGCAAAATGCTGCTGCCTGTGTTCTCACTAAGACTAGAAAAAAAGAGCACATCATCCTGGTTTTTGAAGTCCTTATACATTGGCTACCCGTAGCTAAGAGAACAAACTTTAAAATACTTATTTTTGTTAATGCATTGCTTTTAGCTGAACTGCATTAAAGCCAAACTAGTCTTTGTATCCCCAGAACCAAACTTGGAGAAGCAGCTTTCAATTTTATGCACATTTAATCACCCAGAAAACCTCTTTTAATCAGGGCTAAATACCCACCTATTTAGAGCTGCCTTTAACTAGAATAGAACTTTATTGGTCTCACAATGGAGAAATTTACTGGTGACATCTGGTCTTACAAACAACAGGAAATGCACAAAGGAAGAAAAGTTGCATGAAGTTTATACAGTGCATCCAGATATATACAGTGGATGTTAAAAGATAATGAAGGAGAGATTTGAGGTGACTTATATATACAGTATCTTGTGTACAGTAAAGTGGTGGCAGGTAAGATGTGGATTCTTGTTTGTTAAATAGATAAATAGTATAAGTTATTGCAGTGTTATTACATTAGGTTATAGTGCAGTGGCATTGTAAAGTCTGATGGCAGCAGGGATGAATGACCTGCAGTAGTGCTCCTTCTTACAAGGAGCTGCTCAGCTCCTCTACAGTCTGGTGCAGGGGTGAAAGGTGGTGTCCATCATGGGAGTAAGCTTAGACTCTGCAAACAAATCCAGGTGAAAAGCTGCTCTGAAAAAAGTATATTACACATTGACCATTTCCCTGTGATTATCATGTGTATATGTATGATTACCGGTATGCTTGATTATAATAAATATACATATATAATTTATTGATTTTCTGTGCACTATTTCTTCATGACTTTAATGATATTACTTCATATTTGTTCTGATGGTTTTCTTATATAAACCCAGTGAATTACCTTGCCACTGAAATGTGCTATACAAATAAATTTTTACTTACTTACTTAGTTACTTATTTACATATATAATTATCCAGTCTGACACCGAGCCACATTTTTAACAACTAAAGACAAAAAAAATCACTCTTTAAATTTGCAAAGCTGGTAAAGACATTACCAACGAATCACAGCTGCTATTAGACATTTTTTAATACACTTTTCAGATTTTTGTTGTGGTTACAAAACCTTAAAAAACATGTATAATTTGAGTTTTACATTAAATATGTTGGATTGTATAATATATCAATAGTAACAAGTGGTGGGGATAATGCATGCACTTGCTTTTGTGGATTTGAGAACAAATCTAGATTGTATGGAGACGTGTAATCAACATGGCTCAGAGATGAAGGCACCTCCCCTGGGCTCTATCAGCATGTCCAGATGTTTCCAACAGATAATGCATCGGTGCAACATGTAATAAAAAGAGCAACATGTTGTTGGAACCATTTTGAGGTTTTAAAAACACTGCAAATGCTTTGCTTTTTTAAGGCAAAGCTAATAAAATAAGTGAGGAATACTTTAATTGTGGTGTTGGCTGTAAGTGGTGTGATTCTTACCAGCTGCATCTGCTACGGCTGCCCCAATGATGGCACCGATGGCTCTGTCGGCCACGCTCAAGGCCATCTGTTTCTATCAAAGCACAAACAAAACATATGCTATTATGAGGGCTTCACGCAATTTTCAAACACTTAATATGAAAATCAACTACTGCTTGAAATGAAAGTCTGCACATTTCATTAGACAAAGGGGAATATATATTTCCCAACTGTTTTCCAACTGGAAATAGTCTAATATAGCCAGCGGCTAAAAATACTTGATGGATGCTGAGTAGAAAACCCACATGTAGAAGTAATTGTGGTAAATTCTCTATGTGATATAGGCTTGTTCCCTGATGTTGTGATATTAGTTTGGCTTGTCAACTCATACAACATGGCTTTAATTCTAATATATCAACAGATTGTAAAGACATCAGCACTACAAATGATAGCTGGGTATTTTTTTTGTGAATAAATGTGTATTAGAATATTTATTAGCATATTTTTAGTTCATTGTCAATAAAAGTTCTCAAACAGATAATCAGTTTTAACTCCAATACCTTTTAGTTCCTACCTCACAGTCTGAACTGCTTCTGTCAGGCTGCTCCTTCGGGCGCTATTGCTGTCAGTTTTCTGGAAGGGACTAAATGAGCAATCACCCAAGTGATAAGAACAGCCAATCACATGCAGCCCACAGGGAACGGTTATTTAACGCATTGAATAAGGGCCCCTTACTTAATCTGAGTTATCTACACTTTTGCTTCCATCTGCGTCCCTTGGACAAAAAAAATACTTTGTAAAAGATTGTCTTTGAAATATAATGAACATATTTTAGACTTTCTTTATGAGGCTATTGCTGATTTAATTTAGTAGAAAATGTGATCATTATTTGCTAATTTTCAAAAGTTTCAGCTCCCTAAACAGCAGCTAGTAAATCCTCCAATATTAGATAAAAAAGAGAAAGTCTCGTGTTCAGGCATTATCCATGCCTGGCAGTGTGAAAAGTGGGCAGAAACTCTTTGTTTTGTAGAAGTCAACATTTTATTTTTTCTCCTCCTTCCCATTCATGCAAATTAGATTTAAAATGCATTTTATATATATATATATATATATATATATATATATATATATATATATATATATATATATATAAATTAGCAGCTGAATAAATAAGATATGAAATTGTAAATGAGTNATGAGCAATCACCCAAGTGATAAGAACAGCCAATCACATGCAGCCCACAGGGAACGGTTATTTAACGCATTGAATAAGGGCCCCTTACTTAATCTTTTATATATATATATATATATATATATATATATATATATATATATATATATATATATATATATATATATATAGCCTCTTACACTTACTCCATACATACATAGTCTCTGTACACATGTATATAAATATTTATATTCTGTATAGCACTTCTGGATAGATGCAAACTACATTTCGTTGCTTTGTACTTGATACAGTTTGGATGTCTTAAATATAATTATTTTCATATATGCTGGTCTTTATTGAAGCTATTTCCTGTAGTGGAAATTGAAATTGTCCATCAAATGATAGATCATCATTTCAGGCTTTTAAGTGCTGCTTGTAGAACAAAACCAACACCAAGAAATTACTAAAACTAGAAACCTGCATTAATGGTTCAACGTCATTTGTTCTATCTTAAAACATATGAGATTGACTAATTCAATTAGTTATATTCTTTTTTTTTTTGCCTTTTTATTGCTATTTTTCGTTTTTTCTTTAGTTTTGCAAATGTGCAACTAATTATTCCTGCGTAGCGAACTTTCTAGTTAAATATGATTTTCACAAATTTAACCATTTATATATCAGAAAGAGATCCAATCATCATTATTTGTAATGTCTGTAAAGTTATTTAGGTAATGCTGGTTGATTAGTTGGCAATATACTGATGAATGAATGTTGAATTGTTATATAAATATATCAAACTGAAAAATGAGAGAACTTGAGTTTAACCCAGAGTCCACAGGGTAGTGAGTTATTATACACTTGAAATAAAGATTGTCAATTTGCACAAAAATAATGTAAAAAAAATGGAACAAAATAGAAATAAATTGAAAGATACTTCTGAAGCGCTGCCTGCAGCTGGAGCATAACCAGCAACTATGTTTGCATCAGGCTGAAACTGTTCATTGCTCCACAAAGCGGAATCCCCAAACCTCTTTGGCTCATTTATAAATAATCTGGAACAAATACCAGCTGATTTTTCTTATGCTTTTGAATCAGTATTGCTGTAAGTCTTACATCTCAATCATGTGCTCTTCCTGTGTGATCAGAGCCTTTATTCTCAATGAACGGTCCAGGTGTTTGAGGTGTCATAATGAAGCTGAAGAAGGCCTTGATTAGTTGCAAATGTTGGCTTTTACAAAGAGCTTCCTGGAAAATCTGAATACATTTGAGGCTGAAGTAGACATCTGGAGTGGGATTTAGTCTTGAATCGGGATAAAAATCTTGCAGTATTAGATTTATTAACTATTTTTACATTTCTTGCATTAAAAAAATTATTATTATAAACACATAAACAGGATATAATAGTACCAGTAACTATATGCTCATTTGTAGTGCAAAAATATTCCAGCAAACTGGTCAATAGTTTCACATCAAGTAACCTAGCATTATTATAACAGACTGGCTGTGCTGTGTCGATTTACTTTCCTTCACTGTATCTTTCAGTCCATTGCCTCTATTTTGCTTGTATCCCACCTGATCCTCCCCAGTGTAACATCTCCAATGAGACCCTGCTAATCCCGGCCTGTCGCCACTTATCCCAGGCCTCCCACGGGTATCCCAGGCCATTGATTTCACTCCCGACTCCCTAAAACAGCAAAAAAAAAAAAAAAAAAAAAAAAAAGCTAACGCTGAGAGAGCGTAGAAGCAGGCAGTCAATAGCCATAACTAGAAAACAATGAAGAAAAGCTGCAGCTTCTGTGTGACCCCCCTCTGGTCTTCATGCTGACCCACTTCCTGCTACAACACCCTGCTTTTAAATGCAGCAAAAGCTACTTGAGAAACTGTATTTAATGAGATCTCATGCTAACAAATGAATTAGAATTGGATTAGAGAAGAGAATAATTAATTCAGGCTGTGATGATGAGATACAGTGTTGAAATGTATAGGAAAATTCTGAGTCACCAGTACAGCTGAGACATATCTTCAAATGGTTAATCTGCTGAATAAACAAGAGCTTTTGCTGTGTTTAGCTGGGAGATACCATGCCCTTCACAGAGAGATGAAAGAGATGCACAAATAGATCTGCCACCGTCACCAGATCAAATGACACAATGGGCAGGAGGAGTCTATAAATGACACTTGCAGAAAAGGGAGGATGATAGGGAGGATTTGATGAGGAGTGGAGAGATGGCTTTTCACTGCTTGATGCCTAAACCTTGAAATGAATGCTGAGCTCTCGTGGCTTCCTTCAGCTCTCTGTGTAATGCTTATTTTTCTTTTTTTCTTAAATCAGGTTTAGTATGAGTGTTATGGCTACAAGAAGCAAAGTAAAAGAACAAAGAGCTGCTTGAGCAAAAATAGTGCTTTGAGCACAAACAGCAACAAAAGGTCTACAGCAGACGTCAAGCAAAGCTTAATGTCTTTATTGCATGAAGGCATTTGATTACACTGTGCCTCTGCTGTGGAAAAAGTTGCTGCACACTTGTTTTCTATTGCTAATTTTCTACAGGAATATAAACATTTCGAGGGAAAAGTGTTTGCAAAATGAATTCATGCCCGTTAGCTGCATTGGTTTTGCAGTCAGTCCCCCCCCCGCCACCACCCCTAATCCCCCTCCTAATGATTCAGCAGGGCTCAGATCATGTGTTGTTACCACCTTTTTGTCAAGCAGGTGGCCACAGGCTGCTGTCTTATTGATTGCTCCAGATTTCCACTTGGACGCTCCTCTTCAGGCCTCAGAGACGTTCGCATAAATACAGAATATTGACTGATTATTATGATTTGTGTTCATTGCCTGACAGCAGTCATTACTGTTTCTGTTTCCTGTCTTGGCACTGTAGTACATCTTCTTTTCTTGCTCAAATGTCACTCTCCTCAGCAATTATTCAGTAGATTTTCCCTTTTTTTATATCCAGTTCCAGAAACTAAAATAGTACATCTCAAAAATTTTCAAAATGTGCACCATGTATGTCTTAGAGGCAAAGGAATGTGGATTTTTGGACAGCTCCCCTGAGAGCAGAGTGTGAACAAAGTCATCGTGATGTCACCATTTTGAATATGTTTGTTAACTCATGACAGTATTCTTTGCTATCTTTGGTTTTCAGAATTAATTAATTAAATATTTAATTAGATATTTCTGTCAGTCCGTCTGTCTGTCAACTAATTCCTTATGATATTTTTATTTACAGTTACTAATTTAAATATATTTTCTTGGCAGTAGGTGTTTTTTTTCTTTTAAATTTTGGATGTATTATAATATCTTGCATTATTTGGACCCACTCCTCCTGACAGAACTGGTTGAACTAACTTAGATTTTATGGGCTTGCTTGCTTGTAAACAGCTCTGTTTACAAGCTTGATCATATTTCGATCATATTTTCTCTGAAACCGAGATCCCACCTTTATGGTGAACAGCATAATACGTTTACTTGGATGGATGGATGGATGGATGGATGGATGGATGGATGGATGGATGG